CGACTCTCTCCAGCAGATCTTTGGCAAGCGGGCTGTCGACCAAGTGCTTCCCTTCTTGCTCAACCTCCTCCGGTCGGAAGACGAGGCAGACAATGCTCTGTCGGCTCTCCTCACGCTACTCACCGAGACAACACGATCAAACATCATCTTGCCCAACCTTATCCCTACGCTCACAACACCTCCCATCTCGGCATTCGATGCCAAGGCCCTGGCCTCTCTATCCAAGGTTGCTGGCCCTGCGATGAACAGACGCCTGCCTAACATCATCAACTCGCTTATGGACAACGAGATCAACTGCAAGGAGGATGATCTTCGTGAAGAGCTGGCAACTTCTTTCGACACAGTTATTCAGTCCATTGATGAGTACGATGGCCTTAACACGGTCATGAACGTCCTTCTACAACTCCTCAAGCACGAGGATCACCGTCGGAGAGCAGCTACAGCCCGCCATCTGGGCAACTTCTTCTCTGCCGCCAGCGTGGACTACTCCCGCTACAACCAGGACATTATCCGGTCACTGCTCAACTCTTTCGATGATGGAGACCAGGATGTTGTCAAGTCCTCTTGGACAGCACTCAGCGGATTTACCAAGAAGCTGCGGAAGGAGGAGATGGAGTCGCTTGTTATCTCCACTCGCCAAACTCTCCAGCGTATTGGTGTCCCAGGAGCGAACCTGCGTGGTTTCGAGCTGCCCAAGGGCATCAACGCCGTTCTCCCCATCTTCCTGCAAGGCTTGATGAACGGTACTGCAGAGCAACGAGTCCAGGCTGCTCTTGGTATCGCCGATATTGTCGACAGAACTAGTGAGGCCTCGCTGAAGCCCTTCGTGACCCAGATTACTGGTCCTCTCATCCGAGTGGTTTCAGAACGCGCCACCGAAGTCAAGTCGGCCATTCTTCTCACTCTCAACAATCTCCTCGAGAAGATGCCAATGGCACTCAAGCCTTTCTTGCCCCAACTTCAGCGTACATTTGCCAAGTCTCTCGCCGATACGTCGAGCGAGACGCTGAGGACAAGGGCTGCCAAGGCATTGGGTACCCTGATCAAGTACACGCCCCGTATCGATCCCCTGATTGCCGAACTTGTCACTGGATCGAAGACTGCCGATCCTGGTGTCAAGACTGCAATGCTCAAGGCTTTGTACGAGGTCATCAGCAAGGCCGGTGCCAACATGGGAGAAGCGTCTCGAGCGGCTGTGCTGTCCCTGATCGACATGGACACAGACGAGAGGGACGACACCATGACTATCACCAACGCCAAACTGTTGGGTGCCCTCATCAAGAACGTTCCTGAAGAAGCCGCCTCAGGTCTGCTCAAGAACCGGGTGGTTACCTCACACTTCACCCCCTCGTCTGTGCTTGCTCTGAATGCCGTCCTTGTTGAATCCCCAGAGGCCCTGCTCCAAAACTCTTTGATCGACGAACTGCCTGAACTACTGTCCCAGGGCATTGTAAACAAGAACGTAAGTGAAGACGAACGAGTTCGAAGTAGACTGTTAGCTGACATTCATGAATAGGTTTTTGTGGCAGATAACTGCATCCTAGCTACAGGCAAGTATCTACTCTCAGATGCGCCCAAGAGCTATGAGACTACCAAGGGAATCTTCGAGGCCCTTGCGTCCATCATCCAGCCAGGCAATGCAACCGACTCTCGTCGACTTGCGCTGGTGGTTGTTCGCACGGTGAGCCGCAGCGACATGGAAATGGTCCGACCCCACGTGGCCCTCCTGGCACAGCCCATCTTTGCAAGTGTTAGAGACCCTGTCATCCCCGTCAAGTTGGCGGCGGAGGCGGCATTTGTGGAGCTGTTCAGCGTGGCGGACGAGGAGAGCCGCATCTTTGACAAGTTCATGGCTGGGTCCGGAGCGGAGCTGCCTGCCAACACCAAGAGGAGCATGGGAGACTACTTCAAGCGTGTTGCCATGAGACTGGGCTCACAAGCTCGCGAGAGACGTGAAGCGGAAGGTGGACAGGGAGGACTTGGTCTATCAAACGACGAGGCAGAGGACGAAAAGGAGATTTGGAGTGTTGGAAAGGTGGATGTGGGAAGCGAGGCGTTCTCATGAACATCTCCGGGAGCAAGTGTGCCATGAACCAAGGCTCTGGCATCTTACCTATGTTAGACCATGATGAAAAGCTATGAATCAATGCAGCACAGTCACATCCAGGTGTTTGGATTTGACCCCATGTAAGCTGTTGTCAAGCATCTGTTGCTTTGTCTTGAGGAATAGTGCTGGGAATAATGCTGATCCATGCACGAGCATAAGTTCCATGTGGATATCGCCGTTGTTCATGATCGCCCAGTTGTGTGTGTCCTTTGAAACTGCCCCACCACCATGTCCTCGAATTTCACCACGATGAATTTCGAGCTCTTGTCGTCCACGCCAAGGCCATGCTGTACTCGCATGCTTGTTGTAACACACACAAACATTGATGTATTGACAGAAATATAGAGAAAATTACAGCGTTCGCATTTCTTTATGGCTCAATGAATGCATTCAATGGCTTAGGAAATAGCACAGCAATATCAATACTCCGAGCTCAAACTCGCCTCATGACAATGAAGTCAATTTGATCTCATGAATAGGTAGGTAATTCTGATTGGGGCAGGGGGATATCGCATTTCCCACCCCACCTTCCCAGAGTGCCCTGTGGCAGTAAAATGGTCACGTGAATCGCTCGGCGGTGACTCATGACCCAGAACAGCCCTCGCTTAGTGCAACTGAAAGGGTCTAGCGCAAGTGAACCCACAAACCCAAGGAGAAATTCTGGCCTCGCAAACCCCTCTCAGTCTTCATCCAACATCCATCGAGGACCGGCCACCACTAACGACAATCAAGATGTAAGTTGTCCGAATCGATCAGCACAACGAGGATGCGATATTGGGGGAGATGGAAGCAGGACTGCGCTGGGAGCAGATGCTTCTGATGCCGTCGCCGCGATCTCGAAGCCAAAAATTCATCATCGATATCAGAGGGAGTTGGTGGCTAACTCGTGTTTCTTCCTTCACTGCAGGGTCAATCTGCGAACTCAGAAGCGCCTGGCCTCGTCGGTCATCGGCTGCGGTCAGCGCAAGATCTGGCTCGACCCCAACGAGCAGAGCGAGATTTCCAACGCCAACTCTCGCCAGACCATCCGAAAGCTCATCGCCGATGGCCTCATCATCCGAAAGCCCGTCACCCAGCACTCCCGATCGCGCGCCCGCGAGCTGAACCTCGCCCGACGAGAGGGCCGACACCGTGGCTACGGTAAGCGCAAGGGTACTGCCGATGCCCGTATGCCCAGCCAGGTCCTCTGGATGCGCCGCCTCCGAGTCCTCCGCCGTCTTCTGGTCAAGTACCGTGCCAGCGGCAAGATCGACAAGCACCTCTACCACGAGCTGTACCACAGCAGCAAGGGTAACGCCTTCAAGCACAAGCGTGCCCTGGTTGAGCACGTACGTGTTACCCCATGATACCCGGCCATGGTGGCCATGACGAGGGATGATTGCTGACACGGAGATAACAGATCCACCGTGCCAAGGCCGAGAAGCAGCGTGAGAAGGCTCTCCAGGAGGAGATGGATGCCAAGCGTGCGAAGAACAAGGCTGCCCGCGAGCGCAAGCAGGAGCGTGCGGTGGCCAAGCGAAATGCTCTCCTTGCCGAGGAGTAAACCGTGTGGACAACGACAACATTTCGGTCTTGAGAGGAGGCTGCATTCGGAGTCTACGGGTTGGGTCTCTTTTTACGCCCTTCTGGTTTCTACAGTCGTACCGGCGGGGGTTCTGGCATGTAGCATTGAAAAATGGAATCGATGATGCTCGGATGCTTGGATGTTTTTCCACAATGCCCATCTTCTCGTGAGCACGGCTGTTGCTCAATATGTCCTCGGTACCACAGGTGTTCAAAATAATGTTGTGCGGGTTGGCTTCATTTTCACAAGCGGGCTGTGCCATTCTCACTCCACAAAAGTGTCGTTGCTCATGCATGTCGCTGTCTTGCCCTGAACTTCTGCCCATGCTTGAGAGATGGTAGAATAGCATCAAGTTGGGCACAGCTTGCATCAACGCGAGGGCACTGGTTTCAAACCCAGGCCGCACAGCCTGGATAACTTTGAACATAGTCAGACAAAATGGACAACAACGCCAAGCATTCACAACACAGCTAGGCAAGAACAATAGTGCACCCTCACAAGAACGAGCTAACTCTACACTAACTACGCCAACGCTTTGAAATCCACAATGAAGCTATCGTGAAAAGAGTATGCAAGAAGATCAACCAAAGGCTTGGATCAGTTCATTCAAATTGCCCTCTCAAGAGTGGTGAGTTTGTGCCAGGGCATTTCAGCATGCTCCCGCACGAGGCGGAGGAACCAATATGCTATCTTGGCGGTCACATCACGCCCAAGTTTAGTTGATAAGGGAAAAAAGAAGGAAAAGAAGAAGCCCCATAACCCACCAGAACCGAGAATTTTATACGTAATGGCGTCTTGGCCCACCGCCACAGGCATGGAGCACTGTGGCACAGGCGAGTGTGAGCTGCTAAAAGAGTACCTTTTCCTTGGGTATTTGGAGCGGTTTAAGGTTGACTGTATCGCTGGAGCAGCTGTGTCCCAGGCGAGCTCTCAGCCCATTAAGCACAAGACATGGTCTTTCAGAGGCTGTGACAGGGGATCAAGTTAGGCGAATACGCTAGGTACTTGTCCTGCATGTAGCTGTCGTTGGCTGAAGTCGAGCCATTCTGGCAGCCTCCTTCCAAGGTTCCAAGGCGGCGGTGGTGTCGGCTCCTCCTCCACCTCCCACCTCCGCCTCCGCCTTCGTCCTTCTAGGTCCCGTCCTGACATCCATCGTCACAGTCAATGACGTCCTGAGCGAGCGCGCCGCTAGACAGTCACCGTCTTGTCGCCTCGCAAAGCGGCTCTCCTCTTGTGCGAAAAGATACCCCCTTTTTGTCTCTCAATTGCGCTCCATTCCCTCTTGCTCTCTCACCCTCTCTCCCGTCATCCGCCGATCGCAACCACGCCATGTCTCTTGCTGGCGTGAGAGGTACCTCGCGTGTCCTGCGCGGCATCGCGAGGCCTGCTGCGGTTACCACAACGTGCACGCGAGCGTCGTCCTCCTTGAGTCTCGAGAGTCAGCAGCAGGTTTGTTCATGTCCAATTGATTAAAAGCCATTGTATTACCGTGAACTTGGAGGTCTGACGCTCTTGTGCCCTTACACAGCTACTCTCAGCCCACCTTGGCAAGGCTGACCCCACCGTCTTCGACATCATCGAAAAGGTTCACCATAATGCCACCCCAAGCCTTGTATCGTCGCTCTTTTACTAATCCCTGGAGTAGGAGAAGAAACGCCAGAAGCACTTCATTAACCTCATCCCCTCCGAGAACTTCACCTCCCAAGCTGTTCTCGATGCTCTTGGCAGTGTGATGCAAAGTACGGCTCTCAACCAGTATCAGTGTTCACCTTACAAAGTCTAACTTATATCCTCGACAGACAAATATTCGGAAGGCTATCCGGGTGCTCGATACTATGGCGGAAACGAGTTCATTGACCAGGCCGAACGTCTATGTCAACAGCGCGCTCTCGAAACATTCGGCCTTGATCCCAAATCATGGGGTGTCAACGTCCAAGGTTCGCAACCTCTCCCCTTCGTCCATGACCGGTGTCTCGTACACACTAGTCTTTGTTTTTGAATGGCTCTTGCTAACTTTAACCTTCAAGCTCTCTCCGGTGCTCCCGCAAACCTCTACGTCTACTCCGCCTTGATGAACACACACGATCGATTGATGGGCCTTGACCTACCTCATGGTGGACATCTATCACATGGCTATCAAACACCAACCAAAAAGATTTCAGCTGTTTCAAAATACTTCGAAACAGTACCCTACCGATTGGACGAATCGACTGGATACATCGACTACAACAAGCTCGAAGAACTAGCAACCATCTACCGACCCAAGATTATCGTTGCCGGTGCAAGTGCCTATAGCCGACTGATCGATTATCAGCGCATGCGAGAAATCTGCGACAAAGTCAACGCCTACCTACTCGCCGATGTCGCCCATATCTCCGGCCTAATAGCAGCTAAGGCTGTCCCAGGCCCCTTCTCTTACGCAGATATTGTCACAACCACCAGTCACAAGAGCTTACGAGGTCCTCGGGGAGCCCTGATCTTCTACCGGAAAGGCGTTCGGAAACAAAACCCCAAGACCAAGGAAGACATCCTTTACGACCTTGAGGGCCCAATCAACAACTCCGTATTCCCCGGTCACCAAGGTGGCCCTCACAACCACACTATCACAGCCCTCGCCGTGGCTCTGAAGCAGGCGCAAACCCCAGAATTCCAGGTGTACCAGACCCAGGTACTAAAGAACGCAAAGGCCTTTGCCAGGCGATTGAGCGAACCCAAGGGCAACGGTGGTCTAGGCTACACCCTTGTCAGTGGAGGCACTGATAATCACTTGGTCTTGGCCGACCTTAAGCCCCAGGGCATTGATGGCAGTCGAGTTGAGCGTGTGCTAGAGTTGGTCGGCGTTGCTGCCAACAAGAACACTGTCCCAGGAGATCGGTCAGCGTTGGTCCCTGGTGGCCTCCGCATGGGCACACCAGCCATGACCACTCGCGGCTTCAACGAAGATGACTTTGTCCGTGTTGCGGATGTCGTGGATCGTGCCGTCGCCATCACCTCTCGGATTGATAAGGCGGCCCGAAAGGAGGCGGAGGAGAAGGGTGAGAAGAACCCAGGCAAGCTAAAGAACTTCATGGAGTATCTCGGCAACGGCGAGACACAGTCCGAGATCGTACAGCTACGGAGCGAGGTTGCGGACTGGGTCGGCACATACCCCCTGCCGTGGGACTCATCTTGATGATAGTCCACGGCAAGCATCAATATGGATGAAAACTACGGGCCCGCAAGCCGGATCATTAGTCCCGTTGAAACTAATTTGGCTATGACCACATAGAGGTGTACCGCTGGACCCTTGCTTCGTCCGAGCCTCTGCTAGGACTTGAATTGAACATAGGTATGTGAGATGAGACGAACAACTGCTCCACGGATGTAGTTTATGGCTTCACCTCACTCAACCGATACACCCCTCTCACAGAAATTCGCAAAACCCAGTGCAATGTGACTTGAGTCAACTCTCAATTCGAGCAAAAATGTAGGATATCAAACATGAAGTAGCTAGGTGATCTCAACGACTATGTTCAATGGCCTCAAGTCCTCCAAATAAAGACAAAACATGGCTAGAGTGATAAGATCATGACATAACTAAGTGGTGGTAGATGGCTCTTCAGCTTGAGGAGCAGGAGGAGGAGTCGACTCCTTACCCAGAACCTTCTTCGCACTAGATCTTGCTGCCACTCTCTCATAATAATCCTTCAGTTTATCCAATCCTTCTAGAGCTTCCAGCCCCGATTCCTCCACGATAGAATGCAAGACAGGCCAGAGGGCAAAGTCAGGCAGAGACAGCTCCGAGCCAGCAAGGAAAGCTCCCTCAGTCTCGGCGACGAAACCATCCCAGACTTCGAGCTCGTGCTTCAGGGACTTGAGGTCACGTTTCTCGCTGGTAGTGTCCTTGGGCAAGCTGCGCCAGGCATCCAAGACCGACATTGCACGTTGGAAGCGGGTGAACTGGGTAGCCAGCTCCTTTGGGCTTCGGGCGGTGCTTCCAGGCTTGCCGATACCATAGCGTGCATCGAGATACAACATGACAGCCAAGTCACCCTGAACAGCTGACTTGTCCTTGTCTGTGAACTTGATGGCGCCGCTCTCAGCATTGGATGGGCCAGAGTCGGGGCCTGCCGTGATGCTTCCCTTTGCGTAGTTCACCCCGTATTCTGCCAGCATGAGGGCGGCACGCATGTTGGCCACTGAATCCCCACAGGCAAAGAGTCGTGGTGCGTTGCTCATATGCAGCACGTCGAACCCCTTGCCGTAGTGGGCATCCCAGTCGAACTCGGTGGCGTGGTTCTCCGTCCCAAAAGCCTTGAGCATCTCGATAGCCTCGTCAGTTTGGCCATTGATGACAGCGTGGGCGTCCTCTCGCGTCTTGGCTTTAGCACCCTGACCCCAGATGAGAGTCTCTTCACGGTTCAAGAATGTTCCGATCTGGCGGAATGTCAGAGAGATTCGGCCGCCTTCGTAGGCCAGCTCGGCTGGAGTCTTTTGGCTCTTTGGTCGTTTATCCTGGCGGATGGCGTGTAGCCACTTCATGTTGCTCTTCAGACCCAATCGGCACAGAGAGTTGTGTGGAAGTCTGGCGCGCTGGATCTTCCTCTTCAGATCAGCTGGCGAGGCTTCGTCTCGAGATGGGTCCTTATCCCGTCTCTTTGTTCTGAAGACCATAGTTCGCTCAGCACCCAGGCTGACATTTGCGATATAAGAGCCCTGGACAATATCCAAGGTCTTGTCGCTATGCTCAGAGATGTAGTCGGTTCCGTCACGGTAGTACTGGATCAGGACGTGGTTCAGGGGGTGGCCAAGATGCTTTTCCGTCTCGGCCTTGAGGGCTTGAACGGTTGGAGAGAATGGCAACAGTGGGGGAGACTCGTCAGATGGATGACGGTACACTGGGATGGTACCATCTTCACCAACCTCGCCCTGGACGGCCACAAGTCGTGGAACCTCTCCACCCTGATGCGACATGCGCTGCCACTGGACCTCGTTGCGTAGCTTCTCAAAGATGCCATCGACAAGAGTATCTGGAAGGACGTTCTCGATAATGTCGGTGTCTCCCTCGCAGAGACCCTTCTGCAGGAGATGGCCTTCTTCGTTTTCCATTGGAGTCTTGGTCTGGGTCATGTCTGGATCTACTTGGGGTGGTGTTGTTGGTGTTTTGGGTTGTTCTTTGCCTTTATTCGTATCCTGAGATGGTATCTCTTCGTCTTTAGTCGTCTTCTGAGCTGGTGTCTCTTCTTCTTTGGCCTCAACCACCTTCCCAGCGTCTCCTTTAATAGTAACCGCATCACCAACATCATGCACCTCTTTTGTGTCCTTTGTCTCTGATGTTTTGGTCTGAGAAACGACATTCGATTCCTCGGTCTTCGAAGGTGGTTTGACCTCTGAGTCATGGCGTTCAGCTGCGCTTGTCGTCGACGCCTTTTTCTGAGGCTGAGTCCCAGCCGCTGCGGGGCTTGGCGAATCTGAAGCTAATCGCAGGCCTGCAATGTTCTTGACGATTGATGGTGAGAGACTCTTGTCGCGCACGTCCTCGTCTACTCTGGACTTGACGTTTCGTGATGATTCCATGCGCTTCGACTGTTGCGAGGATGCCTTGCTGCGCGACGCCTTTGGGGTCTTTGGCTTAGGCTGCAGGCTCTCCAGGACCTCCTCGTACGAGGCAATCTCACAGCCAGTGAGTTCGATCAAGGACGCAATCGCCGATGCCTTTCTACCCTCTGTTCGATAGCCACAGCAATCTTCGACAATCGTAATGGCCATGCCGTGACCCGCAGCATCGAGTGCCGTTGCATAGACACCAATATTGGTCAAGGAACCACAGATGAAAAGCTCCATAACCATCTTGGCACGCAATATACGCAACAGTTGTGTCGTCTGGAATGCCGAATAGTGCGACTTTGTTAACTTGATGTCCGTCTTTTGCGATGCCTCTTCAATAGCCGCAGCTATGCGGCAGCCGGGTGTGTCCGCCTTGACGCACACAGGTTCTTCGTGGCTAAGGAAAGCCTCTGGGTCTGGCGGTCCAGCCACGTCGAGGTCCTCGACTGGGAGCAGCTTCACTCGACCCCTCGAAGAAGGACGCAACAGGGACTTATTGTCTGTGGCGATAATTTGGTCCTCGAAAACAGGCCGGGTCTCCTCAAACTGCGATTGGATCCAAACGACATCTCCTACATCCCGAAACGCCTTGGCGAGCTTGACAGTTCTATCCACGAGGCCCTCTGGCTCTGGGACTGGCAGTGCGCCATCCTGAGCTATGAAATCGTGTTGAAAATCAACCCCGATAAAGGCCTTGCGGGTTGTGAGCTGCGGAAGGGCGGAGTGGTCAAAAGGAAACATGATGTAGGGGGGGAGATTGGGATAATAATAATAAAAAATGTATATCTGATGGGTATTTGAAAGACAAGAAGAAGAGAAAGGCCAAGAACAAAATATATTGCTCTGTCAAAGGGACATGCCCGGAATCTACCTAGTGGAAGTTGCGGCTGCGATGTTGAGGGCTTTAGGGCAGGGGGATACAGAGTCGTGTTGGAGCAAAAATGCTTCGTGATGCAAACCCAAAAAGTGTTTCTGTGAGTGCAGGGTAGGCGGGTTGCAGAAGAGTTTCAGGTTATCGTGCTGGGACTGTTGAGGAACGCAACCGTCGGTGTTGGCTGGTTGGTGCAACAATGCCTCCGGCTCATATACCTGGTGTGGGAGCCGTTTCAATGTTCGGTGGTGATGTGCGGCTCGGAACGTGATCAACCACACACACTTATATCCTGGATGGAAGTTGCCTGCCCTGGAATCAAGAACCAGAGAGGCCAGTCCGATTGCGGGACCTGAAGACAAAGCCAAAAGCCAAGAAGAGGGTGTAGACGCGGGGGCTTCTCAGGATGTCACACCCGCAAGCGGTTAAACAGAGTAAATGAGCGATTCTTAAGTCTCGAGGTGATTGATGCTTTGACTCGCTTGTCACATCATAGGACATGCAGCCTGTCATGCTAGTTCAGCCAACGTCCAATGTCAAGCCCACGATGCAGGGTTCAGTCCATCCACCGGTGGTTGTCTCAAGTGTCGGTCAAAGCAACCGAACGGAAAACACCGCCCTCGCACAGCAATATCATATTGAGATTATCACAATCCCGGCGACCTGCAGGAGGGCGGTAATCGGACGCCGTGGGTTGGGTCGCATTCTGAATTTCGGATCCTCCTCGCGGCACCTCTCCGGCGTCGATCACTCGGTCTAGACTCGATTGCTCAGGTGTCAAAGTGTTGGTGAGCCCTTGCAATACACGTCTTGGCGGTTTACCCTGGAGAAATTCATTCTTTTCTGGAAGTTATAGGCTCTCCCTGCATGTCTCTACCAGGCGATCATGATGGGTGATCGCGCCAGGGTCACTTTGTTCGGACTACACGTAGCGAGGATGACGTAGTCTTCTCTCGCCCGTGACCTCGCATTCATGCCTTGATATTCACACCAGCATCCTGTCTCAGTTGGGAGGATGATAGCACAGACATTGTGACGGGCGTTACGAGCCACACCACAAGTTAGTTGACGCCGAATCCCATTTTCGAATGACTACTCAGAAACCAGAACCAGTGATAAGGTTTACGCCCAAATTCACATCCACGCACAGGTCGCAATGTTCATTCCTGAATCACATTGGATCCTCAAAGAGGAATAATTTGTGGTGAATCAAACGAGAACCAGAGGTGGTGATATCCGTACAACGTCCTGGTCTCGGACTTGACATGTGGGGCCGTCGACCAATGAGCCGAAGTTTCCCCAGCTTGAATCCTTGGAGGAGCTGCAGCTCCAACCTTCCTCCCGACATCGCCAAAACATATTCCATCGTGAACAGCTTTGCGCCCATCACTCGCTGCCTGGAATACTCGTCAAGGCTGGGCCAAAGTCTAATGAGATGCTCTCGCCGCACATAAAATAACCATACAAACGCCTTACATAGCGCGTCGTCGGAATCGTCACGCCCCAAGATCTTCGCGATGACGCCAAAGCGAAGTCTTTCCCCAGCCGATGAGCAGCAACCCGACCCAAAGCGGCCTCGAATTGACGATGAGCATCTCGAAGACGCAAATCCCGATGAGACGGGGCCACGAGCAATCGGATCCGTGATACCGAACCCGCACTACCAGGCCAGAGTTGGTCTCCAACGCTCCATCGCCATGGTTCTCAAGCATGATGGCTTTGACTCGGCAAGCCCTGAGGCGCTGGAGAGCTTCACCGCAATGGTGGAGACATGTCAGTATATGCGAATAGCTAACGTTTGACTCGTCACTCACGCGCTTTCACCAGATCTCGAGGGCATGATCGATGCTGCCAAAAGCTTGGCCCTGGCTGCACGTCGCGAGCATCCCGTCGCAACCGACTTCGAACACGCGCTACGACGGCACAATATCAGTATTTCATCATTGAGGCCTCACCTGAGACCACCGATCACCAAAAAGCAAATCGTTCCCAGCTTCGCCGATGTTCTCCCAGAAGACCAAGACGCTTATACCACACTACCGCTCCTGGGTGAAGAATTGAGCGGACAACCGGACAAAGATGAGAAAGATTACGTTCCATCATCGTTCCCAGACTTCCCCAGCAAACACACATACAAGTTTACGCCACAGGAGGATTCCAACATTCGCGACCCTAAGAGAATCCGGGAAGACGCCGCAAGGACAGCTCAGCAGGGCGAAGATGCACTCCGCCGCCTGGTACGAGCATCCAAAATGCGAAAACAAAAGGAAGTCAAGCTGCTGGTTGAGCGCGATGTTCATGGAAAGGAGCGGTTCCGTCTATGGGAATCGACAATGAAACGGTTCATGGCCGCGGAAGGTCAGGGGGAGCATACTGATCAGATGGAGATTGCGGACCACAGCATGATTGTCAATGGCGAGGCCCTTTTCTCCCGCAAAGAAGTTCCTAGAGCAGGGAAACGGTCAGCTGCCTTGGCAAGCAAGAAGGCGTTGTGAGATGTTGATCAAGCATCCATTGGAAACGATGGCCCATATGATACCCCATGAATAAGTGATTTGGGATGGATGGCGTTTGGCGTTCATGGCCTTGCTATTTGAGCTTGAGCGAGGGATAGACCTAATATGAAAGTAGATGCCATGTGGCGGCGAGTGAGCCTCTCACAATAACAGCAAACTTGAACATAGGTCCCGGCGTCTCTGGATGATGGATGAACCGTGATCGTGTGTGGAGGTTAAATGGAGTTCATAGTACGTGTTTCCCTCCCTGTCTTGAAGATCGAAAGGCTAACGAAAGTCATAGCAAAACTCTCACTGAGGATCAACTGCACGAAGCTGTGAACTGGGCTGATATAACAAGAGCTCCAGCTCTAAGCTTCTGGCATTGCGGCGGCAGTGAGGCTGGAGCCTGTGGCTTTCGCTTGAGATGTGGCTCAGTTTTTGAGCCCCGCACACATTGGTACGTACCCGCTGTTTGCACACCGGGCACGCTTCAATCAAAGCGGAGCCCGAACGTGCGGCCCTAATTTTTAACCCACACAAAAAATCCCAATTTCTGCCGGCGAAGCCTTCCAAGATCCGACCAGGCCTAGGATTTGCAGAGCAGCCCTTGACTTCTCTCTTTCTTCTCCCTCACGCACCCTGATCCTCTGCATCGCCTCGTCACCGCAACAATGGCCGAACAATTGATCCTCAAGGGCACTCTCGAGGGCCACGTACGTCGAACCTCTTCAACTCCCTCCTGCCGCTGCCGACTGCTGCATCGCGACTGTGGTTGGCCACGATGCTCCCCGTCAACATGCTTCTGGTCGGCCTCGCGGAAGGCGATGGGTTTTTGGGATCAAGAAGAGGAAGCTAACTTTAACAGAATGGCTGGGTCACCAGCTTGGCTACCTCCATGGAGAAGTACGTTGGATATAGAGCTCTACTCGTCTTGTCCCATTTCGAGGCCATCAACTGACTGATCGCGCTCCAGCCCCAACATGCTCCTGTCTGGCTCCCGAGACAAGACTCTGATCATCTGGAACCTCACCCGCGATGAGACTCAATACGGTTACCCCAAGCGATCTCTTCACGGCCACTCCCACATCGTCTCCGACTGTGTACGTTCATCTTGTGCCCCGCCATGCCCATTCGCACCTTGGCGAGGAGGACGAAGCGAGAACCTGGGCTGATATTTGTTGGATTTAGGTCATCTCCTCCGATGGCGCCTACGCTCTGTCTGCCTCTTGGGACAAGACCCTGCGTCTGTGGGAGCTCGCCACTGGCACCACCACCCGACGATTCGTTGGCCACACCAACGACGTCCTCTCCGTCAGCTTCTCTGCCGACAACCGCCAGATCGTCTCCGGCTCTCGCGACCGAACCATCAAGCTCTGGAACACCCTCGGTGACTGCAAGTACACCATCTCCGAGAAGGGCCACACCGAGTGGGTTTCTTGCGTCCGCTTCAGCCCCAACCCCCAGAACCCTGTCATTGTCTCCAGCGGCTGGGACAAGCTCGTCAAGGTCAGTAACAGCTCCGCATGTGCTGCTGAAGCACTCCACACACTCCCAATCGAAATGATGTTTTGCAACCCAAGTATTTGCTACTTCAGAGCCTGCTTCCACAGGCCATGAGACAACTATTTCACCATTGCCCTGATCCAATTTACCCAGCCCTGTTTTCACCACCTGATGCATCCCGTGTCATTTCATGATTCTAACAGGCATATAGGTTTGGGAGCTCTCCACCTGCAAGCTCCAGACTGACCACATCGGCCACACTGGCTACATCAACACCGTCACCATCTCTCCCGACGGTTCCCTCTGCGCCTCCGGTGGCAAGGACGGCACCACCATGCTCTGGGACCTTAACGAGTCCAAGCACCTCTACTCCCTCAACGCCAACGACGAGATCCACGCTCTCGTCTTCTCCCCCAACCGATACTGGCTCTGCGCTGCCACTGCCAGCAGCATCATCATCTTCGATCTTGAGAAGAAGAGCAAGGTTGATGAGCTCAAGCCCGAGTTCCCCGACACTGGCAAGAAGAGCCGGGAGCCCGAGTGTGTCAGCTTGGCCTGGTCCGCTGATGGCCAGACTCTGTTCGCTGGTTACACTGACAACATCATCCGTGCCTGGGGTGTCATGTCGAGGGCATAAATTTGCTCTTACCCTAAAAAAGGAGCGTGGTGACGAGGCCGGAGGCGAGCGGAAGAAGGTAGATCATTGGTGGGGCGTCAAATGGTTGGCTTCCTCGTTTGGTCTTTATTGATGCAAAGGAAGGGGGGGCGACTCAAATCTGACGAGGGCATCACGCATTTGCTGGTTATAAGCAGCCCCTGAAAGTACCGGGATTCATCCTTTTGTTCTCCAATAAAGAACTCGAGTTTAAAACATGACATGGTGTACAAGTGATTCTCATCAAGATGTGTGTGGTGAAGCTCGGCAACAAGGTGTGAAGTTGTGTGCATCCTTCGCACTGTCTCTTGCGATATCAGCTCGTTCCCTCCCCTGCTGACGCCTGCTCTGACTACCTAGGCCACTAAATAGCCTTAAGGCTTACGATAGATGTTAATCAAATCAAGATACCAAAAAATATCCTTATTGTCATGCTACATTTGAACCGTCTAAGGGAAACGCCTAACTGGCAATATTGTACACCATGCATCTTTTGATTTACTCATCCCCCCCTTACCACACTGCATGAGGGATCGAGCAGAGTCAGCACTTTCTGATCAAGTGTCGACCTTGCTCATCGCAGGTCATCTACATCAACACCCCAGCCCAACCCGAGTGACGGGTAGATAGGCTCTCGTTTATCTCTAATCACCCCTTTACATGAAAGGCGGCAGGGAAAAGGGGTAACCTCCATTCTTGACGCGGAACACGCTGAGAAGGAAGCTGTAGACGAGGAACAGGACACCACCCCAAGCGATGACAGCGACCTGTTGAGTCTTGGCATCAGCGATGCGGGGGACCTTGATCGCCAGGGAGATAGCGCAGAACGACAAGACACCGTCTGGGTGAACGAGTTAGCAGCTGATATCATCATGAGGTCGAAGCATGGACTTACACAACGCGGCCACAATCTGGGTCTCCAGGCCAAACTGCTGCTGGAAACCGGGCGCAACGTAGCTAATTCCACCTCGTCCGTCGCCAGCGACGTAAGGAACCTTGCGGATGTGGTTGAACATGTGTCCGCTGGTGAAGAGCAGGATCGAGATGAGGCTGATGGAAGCCCAGAGGTTTCGGCTCTGGAGGATGGGCATCACGTAAGGGTAGGCAACGTAGAGTGCAGTTGCACCTCCGAGAACAATAGTGATGCCGGAAATCCATCGCATCCAGTTAATGGGTCGCTTCACGGGAGGATGAGGTCGGCCTGGGAGATGACGGGCGAGCCAAACCTGGACTTGCTCGGCAGTCGCGGGTCTGATGATTCTAGGTTATTTTATGCTCCAAGAAAGCGAAAGGCCAATGTTTCTTACCCGGTGGTGAAGTCGTATCGCAAAGGGTCCTGCTTTGCGACGGCATGAGGGCCCTGGGTAGGCTGAAAGAGCAGGAGGACAGGGGCGGTTTGGAGGCCAAGCTGCTCGAAGTTAGATCATACCCCTAATGACCGCTGAAAGCAATATAGCTTCTTCCTGGTATACCAACCTGCATGAAGACTTCTCTGCCATCGGTGAAATCCAGCGTGCCGAAAACCAGTCGTGACTCTCCGGCCTTGTCGCCCTTGGCCCAGCTCCTGCCAACCAGATCCCACTCGGGTTGAAACTCGCGGCAGAGTTGGCAAGCAAATCGTGCATCGGCAGCCGTCAGGAGAACAGCAACACTGTAGTCGCGAGGTGTAGCAGTCAGGGACTTGTATGAAGAGTCTCGAAGCTTGATCGGGTTTGAGGTCTGCTTGGCGTGGAACTCGTCGAATCGCTCGGTGGTCGACTTCTTAGCTGCGACAGCACTCGTCGCGAGGAGTGCGAGCGAAAGGAGTGACGAAAGGAAACGCATGATGACTGCAGGTTGAATAGGTCCGGTGACGGTTGCAAGAAATAGAAGAAAAAGGGCCAATTGGCCTCGAGATAGGTTATGTCAAAGTCGTAGACTCTACAAGCTACCACCTTGACGCTAGGATAGGTCGCGGAGCTATGAGGTGAAGCTGAGGTGGCCTCTCATTCTGGAAATGGCCGAGCACCTTACCTAAGCTGTCTCAACGCGCGCCATGAATAGGCGGGGGGCGCTGTCGATTGGATGAGACAGCTGCACGTGACTAAAGCTAAGCGCCAGTCGGCTAGCCCGATTTAGCACCATGTTTACTTGGGCCAAAACACGACCAGAACTGTCGTTGCATCCATCCCACCTTAACTTCTGCCAACGTCCCGTTCATGACGCTCGCCTCGAGATATCTTTCACATCTTTTGAGGCCTCAACATTCGCTATCGTCGAGAATCCTTGCTATTCATCATAGGCACCGTCATAGGTTGCTTAGCCCAAGCAAAACATCAACAAGATGAAGGCCAGGTCCAGCGAGGTATGGCAGTCTCACAAGCTATCACGCAGTCAACCCAGACCCAGTGCTGACGGCGACATGGTAGCGCATTGCTCGGATCAACGAGCTTGAACTAAAGCATCAGGGCAAGAGTCACCAGATGGACTTGACCAACCGCGACGAGCAGGCTCGCCTTCTGAAGCTTCGCCTGTTGACATTGCGTGATGAGAATGCATTGCTCAAGGATCGATTGATCCAGCGCGATGCTATGGTCAAGCAACTCAGCAAGCAAAAGGAGGACTCACATGCCGAGCGTTTTGAAAACAAGAAGAAGATCGAGGACCGGGATGTGCGGCTGATGAAGCAGGATAAGGAGCTAGCAGCTCTCCAGGTAAGACGCGTGGGTATGGAATACCCGGACTTTACTAATAGCGACATAGATGGAGATCGCTTCGCTCAACGACTTCAGACAAGAATCGAACAAGATTTTGCAAGAGAAATTCACCCTCACCCACAAGTTGGATCAACTTCAACCCGAACTCAACCACCTCAAGCAACAACTCGAAACCCATCGCGCCATTATCGCCCAGAAGCAGGACCTTGAGCGCCAGGTCAGCTCGCTGGAGGTCGAACTGGAAAACGAGAAGCGATCGAAGAACCGACTACAGTCGAAGACCCGCGACGATGATCAATGGAAGGACCAATTTGAGGAAGCCAAGAGAGAGCTGGAGAAGACCAAGAAGGAACACAGCCGGGAATTGAGGGAGGTTCGAGGTGAAGTCGAAAGACTCGAGGGCCTCCTTGAGGAGACACGGAGCAAGCGAAAGCATGCTCAAACAGACCTCAAAAATACACGAGCGGAACTCGAGGCCTGTCGCGCTGAGCTAGAGGCCGCTCGCAAGGCTGCGCAGAGCAACAAGCCAACCAAGAAGACGGTTACGGTGAAGGAACCAGGCCGTAAGCGACGTGCCCAAGAAATGAGTCTCGAGGATATCAGCATCGGAACGCCTGGTCCGGACGAAGCAACGCTAAAGCGACCGTTTAACAAGCGCGGAGCTGAGCATGCTCTGGTTGGAGAAAAGTCGACATTCTCTATCACACCATTCTTGAACCGCACCAAGAACTTTTCAGATGAGCTCAGCGAGATTCAATCACCCACGGGCAATGCCCCTCAGGCTTCCGAGCCCATCGTTGACCCTGATGAGGATGCCGAGGAGGAGGTTGAGCCTGCTCAGATAGAGCCTGCCAAAGATACGATGGACCTGGGAGGCCATGCTGGTGTTGCTAGTGATGCGGAGGACGTCCCAGCCGCCAAGGCACGAAAGGCCAGGGGCAGGCCAAGGAAGGCTCTGGACGACGCACCCACGACCAAGAAGAACATGCCGGTCACAGCAAGAGGAAAGGCCAAGGCAGCGAAGCCTGCTAGCAAGCTGGAGATAGTGATGGAGGAGGCGGAGGCTGGAGAACAGGAGAACAAGATTGTACAGATGCCGAAGAAGGTACCGGAACTGAAGTCCAAGGTGGCTGAGAGCCTCTTCAAGCATAGCAACGCGGCTGGCCTCGATGCCGATGGGCGGAAGAAAAAGCGCAAGATCCTTGGTGGCTCCAACAAGACGCTCTTTGATGAGGAAGATGGAGAGACGACGGTGCCACGGCCTGCAAAGATTCAGCTGGCACCTGGTCGCAGACTCAAGGCGCCCTTGGGTGGTGCGTCAAGCGCATTTGGTGGTGCGACATTCTCGCCGTTGAAGCGGGATAGACGTGGTGTGAGTGCCAGCTTCTTGGCACAGTGATTGATGGGAACGGATGATATGACATTGTCCTGTGGATAAGCATTGCATGATTGGCGTTGGAAGGTCTTTGGCTAGGGATTGGGAATAGGGTCTGGTTTCAGGGAATGGCGTTTGGTATATGATTTAACTGGAGCTCACTGAGCACATTTTGCCTTCACTTTGTTCCGTGTCTGCCATTATATGCAGTGAAAACTCCGTCCATGTCCCTTGCCCGCGATTAGCTATCAAAGTACAGTTCGTGATGTATTTGGGTTGTGTCGACTTCGTGATTGATTGATTGGTCTAGGTTAGTCAGACTTTGACGTTGAAAAACTTCTGTTGTTTACTCGCTTCCCACCACCATAACACATCAATGATACTCGATCGCTACTCGAAAAGACTTTCTAGTCTTTCCTTTTATTTTAATTTCTAGAAAGTTTCCAAGGCCATATTCCTCCGAGCGGCCTATTCTATCTCTCTTAACGGACTCAAAAATAACAATCTACATTATCAACACAGACATATGCAATGAACAGTCGGCTCATGCCTTGCTCGTTAGGCGTTGGAGGCTTGGCTAACCTCCAATTCTCACTCGCGCGAGCAATTGGATGCCCAATTCGTTGGTCCTCGTCGGGTTCCCGCTGGAAGCAACGTCAAGGCCGCGATGCATACGCCAGGAATGCCAAAGTCCAAGGCCTCAAGAGTCGAGCAGCGTTCAAACTTTTAGAGGTGTGTACCCTGTCGTTGGCAATAATCCCGGGACATGGTTCTGATTAGGAAAAACAGATGGATGCCAAGTACAGGCTGTTCAAGAACAATGGGCAGACTGTTGTTGACCTGGTGAGTTTGTTGATTGCAGCAGTTTGTCGTTTTAGGGCAACTCGAGCTCATGTCATGATAGGGATATGCCCCCGGAAGTTGGTCACAGGTTAGTCTTTCTTTTACAGGTGTTCGTTGGACTTCGGACTTACTAGATTCTCTCAGGTCGCCGTGGATAGGACGAGACCTCATGGCCGAGTCATTGGCATCGATCTCATCCCAGCCCAGCCGCCGCAAGGTGTTGCCACCTTCCAAGGCGACTTCCTCTCTCCGAACGTCCAAGGAATGGTCAAGAACTTCATCCTCGATACTCATAAACGCCCTCCGCCACTGCAGCACGAGGCCGAGACCAGTGACTCTGACGAGGTTGAAGTGTCGGAAATTGACCGTCCTAGCTACATCGACATGGAACGACACGCAAGCTCTGAATCTGGATCACCAGAAGCCTCAGAGTCAAACACATCGAGTCAACGCCTTGTAGATGTTTGTTGGCACCTCCCTTGCCGTTATCTTGGCCTCTATATGATCCTCACTAACTGGCTATACAGGTTGTTCTAAGTGACATGTCAGCACCCTGGGACCAAACTTCCGGCTTCTACGTGAACAGCTTGAGTAATCCCTATAATAGGTTGATGAACACGAGCGGCAACGCCTTTCGAGATCACGCCGGCAGCATGGTGAGCAACATCTAAGCTCCTAAACAACGATAAAGGACATATTGTTGACTCTTGGCCTATAGGATCTGTGTGCCGCCGCCCTACAGTTTGCTAGCGACACCCTGAAGTCTGGCGGGCACTTTGTCTGCAAGTTTTACCAGGGACCCGAGGACAAAGAATTCGAGAAGAAACTGAAGACTCTGTTTGTCAAGGTCTTTCGAGAGAAGCCAGAGTCTTCAAGGAAGGTACGTGCAATTCATGAAGGTTACAACAGCCGTGGATGATGTTGACAATCACAATAGGAGAGTCGGGAATCATACTTTGTTGGGCTACGGAGGAAACGAGATGTTGTGATAGAGCCGCCCTCCCACATGAACGAGTAGGATGTTGATGGACCTTGTAAGATATATGTATCGCTGTAAGATAATGGCATACGGTTGTTAGGATTGTTAGACTTCATTCACTGAGACAATGGTACGATCAAGGCGGCAGCAATCCGCGAGAATTTCATTGATGAATTTTGTGATACCTAGGCACGCCAATTCCATGTAAGACCCAGTTGCAAGCCGAAAGACGACATCAATTGCCTCATAAGCTGGCCCAAACTCCACCCAAGGCCAATGATTTTCTCCCACTTCACGCTTAGACCTTGAAACCGCGCGAACGTCTTCGGCCACGAGCACGCTCGAACTTGCGGCCCTTGGACTGGATCTTGGGCTTCTGTAATGGTTGTTAGAGACTGTCACATATGCATAACTACCGGTCGACCGTACCTTGTGCTTGTGGGGGCCCATGCCGAAGTGCTTGACGGCCTCACGGGCGTTCTTGGGGCCACGGAGGATCAGGGTGTTGCCACCAGTGGGGGCACGGAGGGCAAGCTGATCCAGGGTGATGGCCTCACCACCGGCAGCGGTAATGCGGGCGCGGGCGGTGGAGGTAAATCGCAGGGCAGCGACGGACACCTTGGGGAACTCGAGGAGTCTGTTGTCATCGGTGACGGTGCCGACGATGACGACGGTTCGCTTCTCACCCTCCTTGTTGATGTTGGCGACAATTCGGGACAGGGAAACGGGAGGGCGGTTAATCTTGGACGTAAAGAGACGTCGGAGAACAACCTTGTTGAAGGAGGCGTCAGTTCGGCCTGGAGATTTTTTTTTCTGTGGTTAGCTCGCGTGCTCTTCGATTGTGTGGGATGTTTCGGAAAGGGTGGACGTACGAGCCAGGAAGCGGTAGAGCTTCACCAAGAGCTTGAGGTAGACGTTGTCGCTCTTGGGGGCACTGCGGTGAGTGCCCTTCACGTGGTGGCTGTTCAGATCGATACCTGTGAGGTGAAGCCATCGTCAGCCAATTGGTTCAAGCATGCTCAAAAACAGGCAACTCTGTCTTGCGCTTTCGCGAACAAGATGGTGCCTTGGTCGCAGAGAGAGCGCAACGAGTGCACTCTCTCTACTCGCATACAGAGGCTGGTGTTGAAAAGCTTCACGTACCCATGGCGGCGGTTGTCGCTGCGAAATTTGGCGATGTTGGGCGTGGAGTTGGATGCGACAGACAACCCTTCCTTCACCTTTCGAAAAATTCAAGGGCTTTGGGTTGGTGGGGCCTAGCCCACAGCAGGAGCGAGCAATTTTGGGGCGGTCAGGTGCGGCAGTTAGGGCACTATTGTGTGTCTCGTGACTCGTGCACCTCTGCGAGCATTCGCCACATCAAGGTTAGCGTCACCAAGAGCGGGAGCTAGCCCCGTCCCTTCACCTTCCCCTGGGTCTCACACCGAGCTCACCGATCTTCACCCCATCCTAATGGGGAGACCATGCATGATGCAAACTCATTGACAAGCAGCAAATGTGAAGATACCAAGATTGATAGCAAAGTCCTTCATTTTATCTCCGCAACCGATTGAATGTTCAAAATAACTGGTGGCGGTTCTCATCTATTGTCAAATGCCTTGGTATCCATCCTCATGCGGCAATCAACCTCCGTAACGTCTAGTAACACAGCACCCACTATATAAATCGGGCTGCTGTCATCCCAAATGCTGTCCCATGACTGTACACGTCTACCTCGCATCTCCCGTGGTCGCGCCATTCCTGATTCCTTTTTGTTCATCCCCTGTACCGGCCGTCAAACCCAAGCAAATTTGGAAAAACTCCCTGTCTTACAGACTATGCTCACACACTTATACACACAAATCACAGGGAGTGTGGTTCAGCATCGGGGCCGAGGTTGACCAGGAAGTCGCGTGTCATCTCGAAACTCAGCCAACTCGACGCCATACTGGGGGCCACCTTGAGAAGGTTGGGGGCAATTCCTTTATAAAGACCTTTCAGTCCTTCTTGCATCACGATGACTCGGATAGCATCTGTGATACCCTTGTATTGGTAACCCATGCCTGACATGGTGTTGATCTGGAACCGACGGCGCAGGACGTCACTGCATGCGGAGTCAATAATAGTTCATATCGCTTCTTTGCCGAAACTTACAAGGGATAGGTGCAGGTTTGTGCGACGGCTCCAGATATAGCACCGGCCAGCAGCTTCCGGGTCGCATTCGGGTTTTGCTCTCCTTCCGGTGTCAGGTATTTTCGAGCTGATTCATACACCATAAAGTTGAGACCGACCTGAAGCAATTAGCGTTGACCTGGGAGATGGAATGGCTGAAACATAGGACTCACATATGGTGCGACACCAGCAACAGTGGGAATAATACCCCGATACAAGGCCGACATTCCTCCCTCAGTCTTGTACATGGAAACCAAGGTTGTCCACATGCCAGGCAATTTATCCGGTCTCTCTCCTAGCTCGGAAAAACTTGCAGACTGGATCGATAATCGAGTTCGTACAATATCGAGGGGATATGTGAAGACGACCGAGGTGATGCCGGCCACACCACCACAGATGAGGCGCGACAGTGGTGACAGGTCAGCGCCTGGATAGTGCTCAAAGATGTTCTGGGTTGTTGTCAGTAGCTGACCACGACTCATCATTGGACGTTATCACTATACGTACTCGCTTGTAAAAGTTGTAACTGCTGAATTGGACAGCCGAGTATGGCACAATTCGAATGCAGTTCGTGCCATTGCCGCGCATAAAACCTCTCCAACCCTCTTCCCTCCACATCTTGGCCAGCGCCTTTCCTACTGAAAGCTTATACGCATCTCGACCAACGCTCTGGACTTGCATGAGGATCTTGAGTCGTTCTAGGGGGGAGACGACGGTTCGGGAAACGGCACCGGCGACACCGCCTGCGCAGAAAGCGGCGACGACTGGTCGTGAGACAGTATCTTGGAGCTTCAGGAGACGGCTAGAGGCTACAGGCTCCGAATTGACCACTTCTGACCCTGGCTGAGAGTTCCAAAGTTAGCATGGCTTCGCTGAAGCAAGAAGTTACCCCTGGGCAACAGGGGGATAGAGCTCTGGTCGACCAGTAGGCATTGACATACGGTAGACATGGCGGCGATTGACCCAAAGGCACCGTATAATAGGGCTCGGTTGCAATTGAGTCGAGACGAGGCTCCCGTCTTGGTTGGATGAATATGGAGTTCGCAGTTGCTGTTAGGCTTCCAATGTCAGGCGAGATTGGACGAGCCTCAAGGCTCGAGTGAGGGCCGCGAGTGTCGAGGGTTTGCTCCTCAGCAAGATCCAATCGAGCAATGATATCCCCAGGTGTTACTGTGGTTCGAAGGACGACGATTGCATGCTGGGAAGGAGAGGTAAGAGCCTGTCGGCAACCATCGGTGGAGAACCGGGATACGTCTGCGCCGGGACCGACACGCGACGGGGCGTGCGGGCGGGTGATGGGCGGGCCGAATCGCAGATTGTACGGCAGCTGTCGCCTTTTAATGTACTCGCTGGAGGGTGCGGGAGGGGATGTAGTCGGACGGAGAGGGTGTTCGGTGCCGTCAGTGAGGAGGCGGATGGGGCGCGTGAACCGGCGATGCGGATGACTTCGGGGCGCGCGCGTGGTCCCCCCGGTTTCCGCTCGGGGGAAGCAAGAAAGGACCTGGAACGCTTAATAGTGGGGGGAGGGGAAAACCTCGCAGCCAGATCAGACACTTTGCCTCGTGTAGGGTAGCCAATCCTGTACTGTATACATTCTGGGGCTGGCTGAATGAGGCTGATCGGGCTGGGGTGAGACCCGAGGTTGACAGCAGATGAGGTTGAATGACTGCAAGTCGACACGCGCACAACGTAGGCGATCTGAAGTCATGCAGCGGCCTGCATCAGCATACCGCTAAGCTGAAAACACAATGGAATTCTGGCGACAGCGTATTACTCCCGTGGACGGACATCCCGAGGCGATCTTAGTACTGTGTACCTGTCTGCCTACTCCATCGACTCGGAGAGGCGTCAACCTGACGCCGGATGTCGCCAAGCCCACAGCCATCAACCACACTGTTTTTGGCTAGACACAGGGACAAGGGGAACATGACAGGCCTGCAATGTGACTGGACGGAGAGCAAGGCGCGACAATGGAACCAGTCATATTCTGAGGTCGCATCCAACGTCATCACGGCGATTTGTATCAAAGAATACAGTCGATCGAGGAGTTGAGCAATACAGATTCGTGACCCGTTGCGCTGAAACATGTTACAGTATAAACAGTCTAAACTACCTACGAATGAGTACTACTTCCAAATGAAACGTGCCGTGGCGAAAACCACCAGTCTTGGAAAACAAGGTTACCCTACCGGACCTTATGGCTGACGTCGCTGCTTGTACGCTACCATGCACCTGGTCGGGTTATTCAATCAATATTAAAACATCTTGAACCTGTCAAGTGAGGGAAGCAGCCGAGGGCCAGTCAGAAAGCAGAAACTTTTGCGTGAAGAGCCCGGCCAATACCCGGCGGGCCTTCCCAATGCTGCAAGCGACAAGATTACTCGGCGACATCGAGGTCGTCATGGGCAGGAGGGGGGCTGTCCAGGGCTATGTCTGGGGTCAGCATGGCATTTACTTGATGTAACAGAATACATACGCTTTCGCTCGTCGCCGTTAACACCGTTCTCCCTTCGGTCACGGTCATCGCGCTCATCCTTGGAATCACGCTCACGGTCCCTAAAACTTGTGTTAGCGAATCTCCAACAGAAATAGACGCAGTAGCCAAGTGTAGGCTTACCGGTGGTCGGGGCTGCGAGAGCGGTCCCGATCGCGGCGGCTGTCTCGGTCGTAGTCGCGGTCCCGGTCACGTCGCTCGTCCTTGCGGGGCGAGTATTCGCGAGTGCTGCGACGAGGGGAGGGCGAACGTCCCCGACGGGGAGAGCGGCCACCACCACGACGGTCCCGGTCGCGACCGGACTCGAAACGCCAGGATGCGGAAGGAGGAGTACGGGCCCACTATGTAGATGTCAGCAAAGCTGTCCAGGAGCGGAAAGGCTGTAAAGTGTTCCGAGAAAACGTACCTCGATCTTCAGGATGTCGTCACGGCCAATGCGCTTGTTGTGCATCTCGTGGTAAGCATCATCGGCATCGCGACGATCCTCATACTCGACAAATGCGAAGCTAATGGCGGATACAGTTAGTGGTGCAGAGAGCGAAGGGAGCCAGGAACACCCACAGACGGCTAGATGTCGACCTAGGAGCTGGAATGTCGCAACGCACAAGGCGACCATAGCTGCAAATAAGCATGTCAGTATATGCCAGAAGCACAGCGTAATCCAACATAACGCCTTGGGGCCCCCTTTTGAACATGGAATTCCATGTGTATTCTCGCGCCGATGTTTGAAGGACTCGGCGTCGACTCGAACGAAAAGCGACTGCGCAGTGGACGAGCGGACGCATCGACGGAACGTGACAAGATAGGGGAGGATGAAAGGCTGGGGACGTGGGCGCGTGCGGAAACGAGAGGGCGAGGGCGGGCGCGAGGACGACGATGGACGGCGAGGCATCATTTCCTAGACAGAGAGAGATAGCTTTGCAAGCTCTCTAGCCTAGGACGTGGATGCGGACGTGGGTTCGCGCGAAAACGAGAGGACGTGGGCGGCGTGAGCGTGGGCGTGGACGAGGTTGACATACCGTTCGAACTCGTAGGCGAGGTCGCGAGCGCGGGTACCGTGGCTAAAGCCGGTCACGTAGAGAGTGGTGCCACCGCGAGACATGATGAAGGTTTTAAGATGACGCTACTGAGCGACTGGGGAAGGGGAACCGATGAAGCAGTTCCGAAAAGCCTTGGGGAGGAGACGATTGATGGAGAGTGTGTTTGTTGGTGATGTTGTATCAAAGTTGAACGTGTGGTCACGAGGTGTTGGTAAGGCAGGGAAAGTTTTGATCCGCAAGCCGGATGCTGACGTAATGCATTTTTTTGCCTTGACCAACACTCGGACAGTCCGTGAGGCTGGAAGGGAAGTCACTCTGTAAACAAAAGTTAAACGCGACAACTACTTACATACAAATAGAAAGGAGAGAATCTGGGCATGAGAAAGAATGACGGTAAAGCCTTATTGCAAGGCTATCGTTAACTTCCCAATATAGCCATGAGCGGGCGCAGACGTGGTTAGGTGCTCCTTAGCTCGCTCCTGTGGCTCACTGCCCCTGGTCAGGACGGCCGACCGTGCTACATTGTTCTTCAGCCTTGCGCAACCTCCAATTCCTTGAGCGAAAACGGGCGAAGATGGGAGACAAGGGGTATATCGAGTTGATGAAATTGAGGTGTCTGACACATATGGAGGCCAGTGGCACACAAACCCAATGCCTACCTATTTGCCGCGGCGATTGCCCCGATCTTAAACGCCGGAATGCGGAGCTGATGTCGCCGGGCGACCGCGGACCCGATATGAAGTCCGACCCCGACGGCCATCTAGATTCTCACGGAATGGAATCTGATAGAGATTTGACGGGACGGGCTACATCTTGGTATGAGGTCATAGGTTCCTCAATACACGGCGAATCGGGAATCTGAACAGGGTCCTTCCTTCGTCATGTCGCGTCACCTTACACCAAGGGTTGGTCAGCAGATGAAGTGATGAAGTGCAGTGAATTCAGTGCAATTGCATGTGAGGTGAAGCCGCCTCGCCTTTGGAATCTCTACAAAGAAGACCGAGGCAGTGGCTATTATCGTTCGGCGCCCGCGCGCTTCGTTCCACCGGGATCCATATCGCTCGTCTCCGAGCGTCCCGGCCATCTGCAAGCCTGGTCCAAGCAAGGTGAGGATCCAATGCTTCAAGCAATATGACGTGGTGTGGAGGTTAGTCACATAACATTGGATGATATGCCTGACAGAGATAGAAAGTAAGCATATCAATGCTATTCTCATACGGCAACCTCGGATTGGAAATGCACGAGACCAGGGTTCTCGACCAGGTTACCGGTGCCCGCGTCAAAGCCTAAGACCGACCACATGCTTGATCGCCAGCCGTTGCATCCGGAAAGATTCAGAAGCCGGCCATCTTCGGTAGTTATTTCAGGAGCCTCATTGCCCCTCGCATCACTTCCATTTCTCCTTGCTGGGATTCATATCATCATAACATCCGATTCTCACTCTGACAATACACCTCGTCTCTGTTGCCTCATTATAGAATAACTTCTTTTGAATCACATTGCCCTTATTTTTGCCTCTTTTTCAACTTACCGCAAAGATTACAATTTTCCCAACGGCACGTTTCTATCTAAGAGACATGGCCTCCCCTCTCAATCCCGGGGATGCCCCGCTCTCCGGCCTGGGAGCCGGAGCTGCCGGCAAAAGCCCCAGAGAACTGTCGCCGACCATTCAACGACCACCGCCGAGGTCGCTTGGGGATGCGCTGCGGGCTGCTGGAATGACCATTGATGGACCCAGTACAGGGCCCGGTTCAGAAACCCCAAGCGAAGAAGATTACGAGGAGAACGTTCGACCAACCCTGGCAGAGCCACACGTTGTCCGACAACGTTATACCCGACGCGGTCGCCAACGAGCAGATACACCAACTTTCTCAGCCGCTGATTTTAAAGAAATCAATAAAGATGCGAATTTGCGATTCTCTCGCCGCGACTCTGGCATTCATATCGTCCCAGATGACGACAAGAGCCTGCAGCAGTTGTTGAAGGCGAGTTCTCAATGGACACAAGATGCCAGCCCAAAGCGTCGCCCGCGCAAGTTTGCCGATCTCGTCTTTACTCGTCAGTTCTCGGCGTTTGACCGTCAAAACCCATCCTCAGTCAACAGCCCATTCCATGGCTTTTATACGCTTTTCTGGCTTTCTGTCACACTCTACGTCTTGAAGATCTCGGTAGAAAACTGGCAGGTCTACGGAAACATTTTGGGAACCAGTGACATCGTGGAGACCATGTTCCACCGAGACGGTAAGAAACTGCTACTTTTATTCTTGCACTTCTTTGCTAACTTCCACATCAGTGATTCTACTTCTCATTTCTGATGGCATCATGTGTGCACTCACAGCAGTGACTTGGCTCATCCAACGATGCGTGTTTGCCAACTACTTGAACTGGGACGGAGCTGGATGGGTCATTCAACACGTAAGAGCTAGCATATCATATACCGAAACATCGTTACTAATTCTCATAGATATGGCAAACTCTCTTCATCGCAGGTGTGGTTGGTTTGACACTGTGGCGTGATTGGCCATGGACTCATACCGTCTTCTTCGTCCTGCATGGCATTGTCATGGTAATGAAGCAGCACTCCTACGCTTTCTATAACGGCCATCTATCTACAGTTTACAAGAGCCGCATGGCTCTTTCGAAGAAGCTTAAACAACTCGACCTTGTACACCCAGCGACAACTCCTTCGCTGACTGAGCCCCCTGCATCCGCCATTTCAACACAACATCTGAATGCTCCCCCGTCTGCCGAACAACGCCGAAAGTCCATCTCGGGGCACCAAAATACGGAGGAAAGCGACATTGACAAGATATCACGGGCTATTGCATCAGGCGAGCCCCTGGATGATGAACAAATTGTGCTGTTTGAGCGCATCATGAAATGGGAGATTGATGCCTTGTCCGACGAGCTCAAGGGCACTGCCAGCACAGCCGATAAAGCATACCCACACAACCTTTCCTTTATTGATCACTACAAATGGATCCCGCTTCCGACACTAGTGTACGAGCTCGAGTACCCGCGGTCAGATTCTATTAGCTGGACCTATGTGTTTGAGAAGGCTGCAGCGATGATTGGCGTTCTCTTTGTCATGGTCCAAGTCTCTCAGCATTCCATGTGTAAGTCTTATATGCTAGTGGCTCGATGTAATATATACTGACAAAATATTACAGACCCTGTCGTCATGAAGACAGTAGAAATGAAGGAGAACGGCGTACCCCTCTGGGAAAGGTTTCAGCAGTTTCCCTGGCTCCTCAGCGAGCTGGTATTCCCATTTATGATGGAGTATCTGGTTAGTTGCAAAGTACCTCAGATTATGGAAAGAGACTCTAACTGTAATAGCTTGCTTGGTACCTTATTTGGGAGACTATCCTGAATATCCTGGCCGAGTTGACCTACTTTGCCGACCGAAGCTTCTATGATGCCTGGTGGAACAGCGGTAAGCCATCGAAACACATATTGCTCAAGAGTGAAAGTTCTAACATGGAAACAGTATCATGGGACCAGTTCGCCCGTGACTGGAATCGACCAGTCCACGTCTTCCTTCTCAGACACGTATATCACAGCTCCATATCTTCTTTGAAGGTTAATAAGCACACTGCGACTCTCATCACATTCTTTTTGTCAGCTTGTGTTCATGAGCTGGTCATGTGGTGCTTGTTCAAGAAGCTGAGAGGCTACCTCTTGTTTCTCCAGATGTGTCAACTGCCGGTGAGTCTGCCTCATCCTTTTCCAAGGATGTTAACTCGTACACTTGCTGACTTCGTAATCCCTAGCTGGTGAGACTGAGCCGCACCAAGTGGCTACGGGGACGAAAGACATTGGGAAATCTCATATTTTGGTTGGGTATCTTTACGGGGCCAAGCCTTCTATGCAGCCTGTACTTGATCTTGTGATTGAGGGCTGCACATAGTTTGAATGACATTAGCAACCCTTTCAGCATGGCGTTGGAAGGACAATATAGTGATCACGGCAATTTGAGCTCATAGAGAGCAATGACATTTGTAAAAAAAAAATAGTCTTACAATGATGCTGAATAATAGTTGGGATACCACTGCATCTCTACGGGAAACCGCAGCATCAGCGGACAACACTCATGCTCACCAATTGCGACTGCTCATTGACAGCACTCAGAATACTACTATTCGGGGGCCTTTACTGTAACTGAAGCTTGTCACTTGTCACTTCGCACACGCACTGGTTTGAAAGAACGTGTCCTTGAAAGGACTATAGATTTGGGAAAGGAATCGATATTTTTGGCCCCTGAATGACAACCCCTCCAGACCACGCCGTCGCCGAATTCCAAACTAAATTTACATCTTCTCGTGAGTCGCCATAAGAGAACCTGGTCAAGATGGTTAGAGGAATGTGATTTAGTCAAGACTATCCGAAGAGACTCACCAATAAAAGTAGTAACAAGACGGCTGCGGACTTGGCAGATATCCTCTGGCACCAGCCAAATAGTGGCACCGAGCTTGCGGGCAATGCTGATGCTCAGCTTGGCGTTCATGTAGGCATCCTCGTCGGTTTGTCCGGGAGTCACGAGATCGTAGTCGACATAGCTGCTCTTCATTCCGTTCAAGACATCCAGAAGGAAGATACCAGAACCGATGGCGGGATCCTTGAAAGAGCGGATGGCCGAGTTTCTGCCACCCTTGCGGGACATGTCGTTGGCCCATCGCACCATCTCAGAGTCTGTAATCTCCCTCTTGCCAAGCTTCTGAGCCAGGGATGAAAGAGTGACAGTGATATCCCTGCGCATAAGCTGCCATACGAGGCCAAGAGTCAAAGTTCGCTGTCCGTCGGTAATGTCGGCACCCTGAATGCCTACCAGCGAGAAGCGGTTTTGCTTGCCCAGCTCGATCGCATAGTTGGTGTTTTCCACAGCCTTGAACCTCGACATCTCTCCACCGTGGGCTGGTCGCTTGTTGACGTGGCGGGGGTTGACGGAACCAGGGATCACCTTCTCGTAGGCTTGGAGGAGAATGCTGCCGTCTCGAAGATCGTCGAAGAAGGACACGACAGATGGCTGCACATCCAGACTGTTGAGCCAAAGAGTAAACACTCTTGCCTCACGCTCACCCTCTGCATCGAAGTCCTCGACCTCAAGCTTCTCCTCTTCGGTGATGGGGTCAAGAGCGGGGTGGTTGTTGAACAGGTTGGCAACAAAAGCCAGGTTCAGCTTCGGGTTTCCGGCGACAAGAGACTTTGGTGTCAAGAACTTGCGGCAACCGAGCTTGTCGGCCTCCTGAAGAACGGCCTCGGCTCGGTCGTGAAGATCTTGCTTCTGCAATGGTGCACGTGTGACTCCATATTCGGGGCCAATCTGTGCAAGCAAAACGGCGTAGTTCTCGCCGTCCTTGACATCGGAGGAGAAGTTGTTAACCCTGTTGCAACATGTTAGTAAATGCTGACCTTGCGTGGTTCGAACCGACGTACTTGCGGCCCCAGTTGGCAGCCTTGAGATGATAGTTGAACCACCGGAGCAGGATTTGCTCAGGGGGTAGTCTGAGGAACTGCTCGAGAGTCTCGTCCTCCTCAAGCAATCGGTAGAGCTCGGGGTGCAGCTTGATATCAATCTTGCCCAACAGTCCACGGCGAATAATCTGCCAAATCAGACCCAGGATCAGATGCTCCCTGACCTCGATGATGTCGCCAGCACCAATGTTCACAACGGAGCAGCCGATACCCTTGGCGGACTCGATAACGATGTTGTTGTTCTCACTCATCTGGAAGGCATTGAGATTTTTCGTCTTCCTGCCGGGAATGTTGAGGACACGCTCATCGATGGTGTCAGGTACACTGTCGTTGATGAGCTTGGCGAGAACCAGACCATCCTTGCACTCGTCGAACATCTCAAAAGTGTCGGTAGGGAATGGTAGGCGGCTGTCGATGTCGGCATCGCCAGCGAGCACGGCATTGATGTGGCGGGTGAACTCGGTTCGCTCGTCCTCGTTGATGGTGTGGGTGATGTTGGCATTGGAACCCTGGACATGAATCTTGCCGCTCACGCTGCTCTTGGAAGCGTGCCCTCCAGTGCGCTGCGCGACAATGCCGGGCCCGGAAGAGGCGGATGGGCCCGTGGACATGCGCTTCTGGGCAGGGGAAGATTCGCGAAGTTTAGAGATGAGCTTGTGGCAGAGAGGTTAGCGACAGTCGTGGAAACTTGAGCCGGGAGACCTACGCTGACATAGTCCTCGAGTTCAACTCGCCGTGACGAGTCGAGCTCGACCTCCTTCAGCGCTTGGCGCACAACATCATAAGGTTGGTTTTCGCTCTGTTGCGTGGCCTTGATAGCAGTGGCCTCATCCAGGTATCCCTTGTCGTCGACATCGAGTCGCTGGAAGGCATCGGACAAGGAGAAGATTTCGTTCTGCTGGAACTGAGGAAACTTCCTATTGGAACGCTGTCAGTATTGCGAGGCAGCCCGCGAGATCCGGCGCAACCGACCTCTGAAGCTTCAAAACGTTCATGGCGGGGGAGGGGGTCGCGCAGAGGGGGCGCGAGGAGAGATGGAGAGGGGCCGAGTTGTTAAGGAGAGGCCAGCACTCGAAGGAAGGCCTGCAATAGTTGTGCGATACTTGTTGGTAGGGGAAGGTTGAGAAGATGTGGTCTTGATTCCAGTGACAGAGTTGAAGCTGGAAAGGATGATGCGAGAATTGGGCACCTGAAAGGGAGAGGGACCGTCTTTAGGTGGCATAGCATGGGTGGGGAGGTGTCCAAGCAGAGAGTCCGGCGCTGGTACTTTCTCAAGGAAGCTGACAAGGTACCCCTCCTTTTGCCTTGGGTATTGAATGGCGGTAAAACTCATAGTCGCTATACCTGATTGGCTGGGCGGAGGTACTTGTTTGTTTGGTCACTGCGGGGAGCTGTCCCTGGTGGGAGGACCTTTGGGGCTTGAGAGCGGTGATGTAATGGCCACCATTGGGATGGCAGTGCAGCGGATACGCGTTTACCAGGCGGCCATGAACAAGGTACGGATGCTTACGACGATGGAAGATCTAGGCAACCTGTTTCGTTCCAATTCTTCATCTGCCTCCCCAGGCAGGTTATTAGAGTGTAAGCTAATCCTGTCAAAATGTTGCCGCCTGGAAGTGATTCGTAAACCAACCTCGCTTTCGCAAATCATGAACCAAGCCCCACTCGGTTGCGTAAGGTCTGCTCACCCACTTGGGTTTTCGTTTCCTTCGCATTGCAGGAGAAGAAAAAAAAAGTTGGGCCTGAACCAGCAGAAAAAAACGCGATAGGACGGAAAAGAAGAGACCCAAAACGCGCTTCCAAGCATTTCACAAATTTGTTTGTGACAGACAGCCAGCAAGACTTTTACAGCACCCTGTCTAATCCTTGGCGAGCCGAAACATCCTGAATAGCCATTCACCACGGCGTACCAGGATGTCCCTTTGCAAAGTCTGTGAAGAGTCGTTGGTGTTGCGTTTGGATCCGGACGAGGACGTGGATGATGAGGCTGGGGTGTCCAGCGCTGGCCCTAGCACAGTCTCGGAATCAGTCCCTGATGACCTTGAATTACCCTGTGGATGTCACTTTCATTGGTATGTTGGATGCTCTTGAGACGATGGTCTGTGGTGCTACAATCTCGGCTAAAACGTCAATAGGCAGTGTTTGTTGGACCAGTCTTCTGATGTAGCAGTCTCTCTCAAATGCCCGAGTTGCAGTACTTATTTGCCAGCGAACGACGCAGGGCCCTCGGCCACCAACCAGTTCCTCTCTGCACCCTCGGGCGCTGCAATTCTCACGAGATATGTCAACGAGGGTGGCGTTCAGGAAAACCTAGACATCCTACCATCGATTACCGAGGAGGCATACCTCGAGAGCCACCCCGAGGCCCGTCCGGCTCGTGCACTGCATGTCATGTCCGCCGAGGGCGATGTTGGCGGAATTGTTGAGTTGCTCCGGGATGCGAGCGACGAGATTGAAGATTTGGCATCCTTCGTCAGGTACCAAGATCCCCTTGCAGACATGAAGAGCGGGCTGCATCTTGCTATTGAACACAACCAGGAAGAGACACTTTGGCTTCTTCTCTGGCTGTGCTCTACCATCCCGGATGCGGCTTTCCCTGAAACTGCTCGCTCGGTGGCTCAAGCCCTGGGCATTGGGCGCCTCTCCGTCTCGGCAGAGGGAGATATTCGTGGCCTGCGAGACAGCCATGGCCAAACGGCCGCGGATCTCGCTCAACAGAAGCAAGCTCAATGGGCTTCGATTCTTCAAACTGGACTACTGTCTCTGTAACAAACCGGAGATATAAAAGTATTGAGCCATGGATATACTCAGGGCTGGGTATATGAGACATTAGTGTTGCTGGCTGAACGCCGAAAGTGAGGCCGTCATGCCCCGCCTTACTCTTGCTCTCGTTTCAATCGGGAGAGATAGGCAACTTTTGTCAGGTGGATGGGCTGGAATGCGAGGAAAGGATGCATGCCTGCCTTGCGTGCCTGGGGGAAGAGGTGGCCAAGAATGAAGTGCATGAATTCAACAAAGTCTATCTAACAGGGGCACGTCGTTCAGCGCTGGCAGGGAAATCTACAGACTTCTCTGGACGGAGTACTTACGGAGTATTGAACTGCCTATTACACGTGGTGGCTTGGAACGGTGTCTGGGTCCGCCCGCAGGCACTTTGAATGCATCCAGGCACCCAGTTAAAAGCCGTGGTTAAACTTTCGCAATGGAAATGGACCAGTCTTTTCTCTAAGAAACAAAAAATAACACTTGTGTCGGAAAATTGAAGCTTCCTCATCAACTGTGATAGACTGCCTGTCAGTTGGGTGAAGCTCAAGGCCCCCACTAATCTTACCACGCTGCCTTAGTTCAGGCACACGTTTGCGATTCGTGTCGTCACCTCCACTCTCGGCAAGGGACGTCATCTTCACATGAATCCTCCTCTTATCGCAACCTATTCATCAGAACAAATTCGGCCTATCTTCTGTCAACGCTTTGGCCTTTGGCTTCTCTGCTTGATTTGTGCGCTGCCATATTTCTGATGGTAATGTGTCCAACTTGCGCAAAACTCATAGAATCATCACTATCACTGCTGCGACTGCAATCGTCCCTGCTTAACAGCGCAGGCTGACCGACATTAAGGCTAGCTGGGCTTCATCGTTCAATTTATCACACCGGGTATTCGACTCTACTACGGGATCCCTTAGAAGGAAAATACGCGTTGGCTATCCCGTGTCTCCGAGGACGTTCGCTCACCCTGACCTGGGCCTCGCAACGGTGTGTTGTCCTGCTCACCAACAGGGTTTCGCGCTGTATATGGTCACGATCATATCGCGCCACCATGGCCTCAGGGGCAGCTGAAAAGAAGACCGAAAAGTCTTACTTGAGCTCTGCTGTCGACTCCATTAATCCCTGGGCCAGTAGCCGCAGTACAACTCCTACTCAGAAGGCCAAGCCGGAGGAAGCTCGACCAGCTCCTGTTCCTTCAAATCCTGACGACCATGCTACGACGCATCTCTACGGCCAAAGCTTCAAATCATATCCTGCAGGATGCCCGCCTTTAAGAGTCCAGTGGTTTCACGCCGTCGACGTAAGGAATCTTCCGACATTGTTGGTTCTTAGCTGACCACGCTGGTAGGTTCCTAAGCGGAAGCCTCAGTTGACCTCCCTTAGCCGTCCAGCACAACCTGAAAAGCCGGCAACGCGGCCAAAGAAGCATTCCGCATTTTCTTCCTCCGATTCCAAGGCCTTGGAAGGAGAGTATCAGAAGCTGTTGGAAGCGATGGAGGACGCTCGGAGCCAGACTCCAGGTGCTCGTCTACCCTCAAGAAAGAGAAAAGCAGATGCGACTGGCGACATGTCGGAGAAGGCCCTTGACCAAGAGGATTCTAATTCCAGTGCCGTTCGTGTTCCCGTGAATGAAGACTTTCTCTTTGATGTCGACATCGAAGCTCGAGAACTGGCTCCTGTTTACTGGCTGGGTCCAGTTTATGAAGGTTCGCTGTGACACAACCTACCATTATAGTCAACTGACCGGTGATAGTACTGCGAGGAACTTGGTTCTATCAAGATAGCTCGACATTACGTCCTTGCGAGGAAAACCTTGCTGCACAACTTGAAGAGGTATGCATAATCATGTCTCAAGCTAAAGAGCAAGCTAACATATTCTAGGGCTACCTCAAGACGAAGCCATGGCAATATGCTGGTATGTCAAGCCGTCGCTCTTGCATTTGAAATCGTATCGAAACTGACGATTGACCAGGTAGAGGTCGTAGCCCATCGGGTGCGAGAAAAAACATTACCCCAAAAGCATCGCGGGAAAATCTCAAGTCAACAGCCTCATCCCGGTCAGCGAGCGCGACTCGCTTGAAGGAGCATAATGCCCCTGCTGCTAACGCTGACTCCCAAGGCCAATCGCAACCCCAAAGCTATCGACTCTTCGGGACGTACATGAATAGCATGGCCACTTACCAGGACGCCAATACAGCTTGGTTGACCTCAGACGGTATGCTTTCATGGGTTACTTCATCTATGTATCAGAGATTCAGCGGTGGGAGCTACATGAGCGGGGTGAAGCTCGTCCGTGGGTATTCTGAGCCCAGTAAAAGCAAGGACAAGGACAAGGACAAGGATAAAGACAAGGGCGATGAAAGCCAATCAACCGCTGCCGATGAGGCCCTCTCGCTGGACGAGAAGCAACAGAAGATGTTGAAGCGAAGATCGGCGCCTCCGTCGACCCGTGCCTCCCATGACGAACCCGCCCAGAATGACGAGCAGATCAAGACGGAGAGGGACCCTCGACAAATCAGACTGCAGCGTCAGCTATCGTCACTCATTGAGAGTGAGGGGAGGACCAAGGCTGAAACGGAAGAAGAGATCCGACGGCGCGAAGAACAGGAGATACAAGACGACTACACTGCCCAGGCCGGTGAGACTCAGGGACGTGAGATAGAACACCTGGTGCTGGTGACCCATGGAATCGGCCAACTTCTCAGCCTTCGGTATGTTATTAACTGGATGATATTGTAATGCTGGCTCAGCGCTGACCCTCCCTAGTATGGAAAGTGTCAACTTTGTCCACGACGTTAATATCCTCCGCAAAACCATCAAATCCGTGTATGCCAACTCAGCAGACCTGAAGGCCTTGAACTCGGAGCTTGGCCCCGGACCAGGAAACAGTCGCGTACAGGTACTCCCGGTATGCTGGAGGCATCTTCTGGAGTTCCCAAGAAAGCGCCAGAAGAAGGGTGAGCGCGACCTAGGCGACATTGACGGCGACGAGGATGAATGTAAGTGGTCTTAGAACTTGGCACTTTGAGGGTAGACTGCTGACTCTATAACTGCAGACCCATCCCTGGACGACATCACTATTGAAGGGGTGGCCTTTGCCCGTTCCCTCATATCTGACCTTGCTTTGGATGTGTTGCTCTATCAGAGCTCTTACCGTGACCAAATTGCGAGGATTGTACTCAATGAGTGCAACCGCATTTTCAAGCTATTCAAGGAACGAAACCCAGAGTTCAAGGGAAAAGTGCATCTGATGGGCCATTCCTTGGGTTCTGCGATCCTTTTCGATCTTCTTTGCCAACAGAAGCAAGATCGCCCTACTGAGCATAAGTCTTTGTTGCGTCTGTGGCCGATGCAGGATCGGACAGAGTCGTCAAGCAAAACTACAGAGCTGGAGCTCGACTTCAATGTTGATGACCTATTCTGCTTGGGCTCGCCGGTTGGTCTTTTTCAGATGCTTAAGGGACGGTAAGATTAGAAACACCCTTGACCTTACAGATGCCCTTGTTTGTACTGACAGCTTTGATTAGGACTATAGCCGCGAGACCTCGCCTTCAATCCGTGAGAGCCAAGGACCCCCAGAGTATGGATTGTGATGAAGATGTGCTCCGCACAAACCCACTTGGGTCGGGGACAGAGCAAATATCCCCAGTGACCGGTCTGCCCGGGACTGTCGCGTCGCCCAAGGTTCAACAGCTCTTTAACATATTCCATCCATCAGACCCCATTAGCTATCGCCTTGAGCCTCTGATATCACCATCCATGTCAACATTGAAGCCTCAATTGCTACCCTACACGAAGAGGGGAATATTCAGCAATGTTACACCACAAGGGCTGACCGGGATCGGAACCATGGTTGGGCAGAGCGTCAGCGGATTGTGGTCGAGTCTGAGTGCAGGCATTGCTAGTAACCTGCTCAACCGAAGTCTCGGTATCAATAGCGAAGAGATGGCCAGGATAACTGCCAACGCGTCGCGGGGAGAATCACAGACTCTCGAAGGCGCCGGATCGAAGACTCTGGCGAGTGGTGATACTCCCGATGCTGAGAAGCGAGTGGCTACAGACGCGCGCATGAAGAAGCTCGCTGACTCTGCGACCAATGTTTCGGACTTTGGGTCTGGCCTGAGCGACCACAGCCCGACGTTGATCGATGACGAGCTGGAGACCTTGTATTCCAAATTTCAGAAAAGCCTCTCTAAAGAAGGGGAGACGACTACCACGTCGGACGAAGATAAGAAAGCTCGCAAGCTGCGTAAGGAAGAAGGAAAAGTTCGAGCACTCAATCGCAATGGCCGAGTCGACTACAGTATCCAAGAGTGAGTGTCTATGCTGGAGAGAACTTGTAACGAATGGATCAAGACTAATCATGCCTCAAGGAGCGTCCTGGACTTCAACCCAATCAATACAATCGCCTCACACATGTGCTATTGGGCTGACGAGGATGTAAACCATTTCGTCCTCTCCCAGATGCTGTCGAATCGATTGAGGCGGAAGTCTGAATCCTAAGACGACATTCTGGCAGCTGTATATAAGCCCTGCCACTTGGTAGGGGCACTTTGATATCACGATAGATGGTTAGGGAGTCGAGCTAGCTGGGGGCCTATTGAGAGATGTTTGGAATCAGATTGCCGGCTTTAAGATGCATGATGTGGAAGGCTAACAATCGCGTCCGTGGGGCATTTGGCCCAGTAATATCCATGCCTAAAATTGTGATATTTGCTCGTAAACGACTACTTATTTACTTGTGTAAGAGCCTCTTGTTGAATGCGCGGTCAGGTAACCAATGAAAAGTGTCTGTATCATCAAGTGCGCAGGACGTTGTCGCATTAACCTGCATTGCGCGCCTTCGGCGATGATTCATCCCTTGGGGGCGGCTGGTTCCCCCGCAGGCTGGTAGGATGGTGGGGCACGACTGATGCTAAAGAGTTTGGGTCCCTCTTTACCTGGCGACGGAAATTTTGCGACTCAACTTCCACGCCGTCCCTCTGATCCAACATTCGACTTGTCGCCTCTCGAAGCGTCGCGACTCCTCGCTTCTGGTCATGTACATCGCATGCGAATCCCCAGCACTTCAAGCAGCTTCCGATTCAAGCTTGTTGTGATCACAACCCCAATCCGCACTTGCCGGATCCCCGCATACCTGCGATCGACCTCTCGATCATACCAACGCCGGCGCTTTTAGCTGCCTCGCAACAGTCCGATTTCCGCTTCGAAGTTTACAAGCGCGCCTAGCATGGCTACCGACGCGTCCACCAAGCGTGCTGTGAAGGAGCAGCTTGTGGATAAGCTGCCTAAGCGATTCAAGGGCATCAAATTTGGCATTCAGTGAGTTTGCTTCGCGGCTGTGATCTCGGTTTGCTGGACAGCGCTGACTTGTCTTCTCTCGTTACTAGATCCAACCAAGACATTGCCAATCAAGCTGTCCTCGAGGTCTCTGACCGCTTGCTTTACGACATCGAGAATAATCGCGCCCCATATCGCCATGGTCCTCTCGACTCCCGACTGGTGAGCTTCCGACCTCCGCCCACGTCGAACTTATCTAATGCAAATATCTTGGCTAGGGAACCTCGAGCAAAGCAGGAAAATGTGCTACCTGCGAGCTATCGCTGTCGGAGTGCAATGGCCACTTTGGTCATGTCCGCCTCCCGTTGCCGGCCTTCCACGTCGGCTACTTGCGCTTCATCATGTCTATCCTGCAAGAGATTTGCAAGGTAAAGTTAATCGTTACACTAGGAGGCGAGGGCTTGCTAATGTTGTGCCAGGATTGTGGCCGAGTGTTACTGGAAGAACCTGAACGACGGCAGTTTCTTAAGGAGTTGCGGCGACCGTTCCTCGATAACCTGCGCCGAACGCAAATATGCAAAAAGATCAATGCAGAATGCCGAAAGATCAAGACCTGCCCATACTGTGGCTCCATCAACGGCCAGATTCGAAAGATTGGTGTCCTCAAGCTTGCCCACGACAAGTTCTCCTTTTACAACAAGTCCACCTCGGTGAAGAAGGTCCCCCCCGAGAGCAAGATCAAGTTCGACAACTCCTTCACCGAGGCGAAGCGCGAGAACCCTGAGCTCGATAAGCATCTTCGAAAGGCTATGGAGGATCTGAATCCGCTGAGGGTTCTCAACCTCTTCAAGATGATCAGCCCTACTGACTGCGAGCTCCTTGGCCTCGACCCTGCTGAAGGTCGCCCGGAAATGTTTATCTGGCAATTCCTTCCTGCTCCTCCAGTTTGCATCAGGCCCTCTGTTGCCCAAGACAATGCTAGCAATGAAGACGACATTACCACCAAGCTCGCCGATATCGTCTGGGTTAGCGGCATGATCCGATCCGCCCTGCAAAAGGGCTCTCCGGTTCAGACGATCATGGAACAGTGGGAGTACTTGCAGACTCAGATCGCTATGTACGTCAATAGTGATGTTCCTGGCCTTCAGCAGCCTGGATTCGGTAAAGCTACAAGGGGCTTCTGCCAACGTCTGAAGGGCAAGCAAGGCCGCTTCCGAGGAAACCTCTCCGGAAAGCGAGTCGACTTCTCTGGAAGAACCGTCATCTCTCCTGACCCTAACCTCGGTATCGATCAAGTGGCTGTCCCTGAACTTGTCGCCAAGAACCTCACCTACCCCGAAAGGGTACAGCGACACAACATCGAGAAGCTCCGCCAGTGTATCAAGAATGGAGTCGATGTCTGGCCAGGAGCGCAGCGAGTTGTCAAGCAGGATGACGGTGGCTACTCGATCAACTTGAAATTTGCCAACAGGGATAACACATCCCGAGATCTCAAATATGGAGATGTCGTCGAGCGTCATTTGGAGGACAACGACATTGTGCTCTTCAACCGTCAGCCGTCCCTGCATAAACTGAGTATCATGAGCCATCTTGCAAAGGTTCGTCCTTGGAGGACATTTAGGCTCAACGAGTGTGTTTGTGGACCATACAACGCCGATTTTGACGGCGATGAGATGAACCTCCATGTTCCGCAGACAGAAGAAGCTCGTGCTGAAGCCATCAATCTGATGGGAATCAAGCACAACTTGGCGACACCCAAGAACGGCGAACCTGTCATTGCTGCAACCCAAGATTTCATCACGGCGGCTTTCTTGCTTAGCAGCAAGGATCGATTCTTTGACCGCAAGACCTTCACCTACCTTTGCATGCACATGATGGATGGTAAAACCCACCTTGACATGCCTCCGCCCGCCATCATTGCACCGCAGGCTCTTTGGACCGGAAAGCAGCTCTTCAGTATGCTCATGCGACCCAACAAGGATTCAAAGGTCAAGGTCAACCTGGATGCCAAGTGCCGAGCGTACAAGGCCCGACCCGGCCAATGCCCCGACATGGACCCCAACGACGGCTGGCTTGTTGTACGCAACTCCGAGGTCATGTGTGGTCGCATGGACAAGTCTACAGTCGGATCAGGCAAGAAGGATTCGATTTTCTACGTCATTCTTCGTGATTTCGGCCCTGACGAAGCTGTTATCGCCATGAACAGACTTGCTAAGCTGTGTGCGCGTCAATTGACAAACCGAGGCTTCTCCATTGGTGTTGGAGATGTCTTCCCAACCCAGTCGCTCAACGATGAGAAGGAAAAGCTGGTAGCGGTCGCCTACAAACAGTGCGATGACCTCATCGAGACCTTCAAGGCCGGCAAACTTGAGAAGGCGGCTGGCTGCAACCAGGAGCAAACCCTGGAAAACTCCATGTCTGGTATTCTGAGCAAAGTCCGACAGCAAGCAGGTTCATACTGTGTTGACACCCTGAGCCGCAACAACGCCCCTCTTATTATGGCCAAGTCTGGCTCCAAAGGTTCAGATATCAACGTGGCGCAGATGGTTGCGCTTGTCGGACAGCAGATTATCGGCGGTTCGCGTGTGGCGGACGGGTTCCAGGACCGAACTCTTCCGCACTTTCACAAAAACGCTCGACAGCCTCCATCAAAGGGTTTCGTCAAGAACAGCTTTTACACCGGCCTTTTCCCCACCGAGTTCATCTTTCACGCCATGTCGGGCCGTGAAGGTCTGGTCGATACAGCTGTCAAGACTGCTGAAACTGGCTACATGTCTCGACGACTCATGAAGTCACTTGAAGATTTGTCCACGCAGTACGATGATACAGTGCGAACCTCGGGTGGTGGCATTGTGCAGTTCCAGTTTGGTGCGGACAAACTCGACCCCGTCGACATGGAAGGTTCTGCAGAGCCGGTGCATTTCCTGCGAACCTGGACTCACGCAGAGAGCTTGACCAGGGACAATAGCGAGGCATCCATGACCCCAGAAGAGATCCGGTCCTTTTGCGACACCGTATTGGAGACCGAACGAAAACGTTATGTCCGACGTGGTCTCCTGCATAATGAAGTCTTGGACTATGGGGACACGAGCGACTATGGTATCGACGAGCACGAAGGTGCCAGAGGATTTCTCAAGGCGATTGAGACCCACGTCGAAGGTCTGGCATCGAAGCTGGAGCGGGTCAGAAAGCTTGCTGGATTTGAGGGCGATGTGATGGTGAGGGCAACAGCTCAGGACCACGCCGACCGGACGGCCAAGGTTACCTTGTCCACACTCCGCCTTTTCATCAAGATGTGTCTTGACAAGTACAAGAAGGCGCACGTCGAACCCGGACATGCTGTCGGTGCTGTCGGCGCCCATTCTATCGGTGAACCTGGTACTCAGATGACACTGAAGACTTTCCATTTCGCCGGTGTTGCTGGTATGAGTATCACTCAGGGTGTTCCTCGAATCAAGGAAATCATCAACGCTTCCAAGACCATCAGTACTCCAGTTATCACATGCCCGCTAGAAAATAACGAACAGATCGAAGCGGCGCGAGTGGTCAAGGGACGTATCGAAAAGACGTACATTTCTGACGTCTTGCGCTTTGTCGAGGATGAATGGCGTACCAACGAGGGCAATGTCGTTCTCCAAATCGATTCAACCGCTCTTTCAGACATGCATCTGGGTATTGGGCCTTATGACATCGCTGAGGCCATCTGCAAGCAGCGCAAGTTGAAGGTGCAACGCGATGATCTGTCAATTGACGGCGAGAGAATTATTGTTCGTGTGCGCGATGTCAGCGATTCTACAAAGAGGACAACTGCCCGAAGCAAAGCCGCTGCTGATGACACCGGGGATATGCTACTACGAGCCAATTTCCTGCGTCGTGCGCTTCCTACGGTGCCGATTTCTGGTTATTCCGAAGCAACTCGTGCCATTATCCAGACCTCGGAACAAAACACTCACACCGTCTTAGTCGAGGGTTATGGACTTCGAGAATGTATGACGACGGAAGGTGTCATCGGTATCAAGGCCCGTTCAAACAATGTCATGGAATGCCGAGATGTTTTGGGTATTGAGGCTGCAAGAACTACCATCGCAGCCGAAATCGGTGAGGTCATGGGCGACATGGGTATTGATCCGCGACACATGCAGCTCCTGGCTGATGTGATGACTTACAAGGGCGAGGTACTGGGTATTACGCGATTTGGTTTGTCCAAGATGAGAGACAGTGTGCTGCAACTGGCCTCGTTCGAGAAAACCCCAGATCATCTCTTTGAGGCTGCGGCTGGCATGAAGACGGACCAGATCGAAGGTGTCAGTGAATGCATCATCATGGGTCAAACGATGAGAGTTGGAACCGGCGCCTTCCAGGTGGTTCGTCGTCTGGGTATTCAGGGAGGAGACCTCAAACAGAAGCCGACAGCGTTTGAAGATGCTTGGGCTGCTGAGACGGCGCTGAAGCGAAAGGCACGCCGCAAGGTTTAGTCGGTTGGAGGACGTCCGCTTGTTCTGGAGTATAAAAGTAGGATGGATTGATGTATTCATGCCAAAATAGCGATACCATAGGGGAATTGTAAAGTTTTTGTCTTTGAATTGACTTGTCTTTCTTGCCTGGCTTGGTCTGGCTTGGTCATCCTTGAGTCTTTCTTTGCAACGGCGACTGTGCACCACCGTCATAGGCCCCACGTGATACCGTCTGACGAGTTCATCGTGAACGCCACCACCAATATTCACATCGAACTTGCACGCTCGTCATAAATTGACTCACTCAACAGTCAAATACCGCGAAAATGTGCGGTCGCTATGCGTTAGCTCTGGTGAGTGACAATATTCGGCAAGATGATGACTCTAACCTGAAGCCACAGCGCCCATCGCAAATCCGCCAGATGCTTGAGGAGGACGGCTTAGACATTGATGACGCACCAGAAGATGAAGGAGATGGCACCCCCCGCAACACTTACAATTTTGCACCTGGAAATCACGGTATCGTTTATCGCGCGAATACCCCCGATGGAGGTGCTGGCCACCAGGGAACGGACAATGAGAAACAGCAGCACGCTGATCCCAGCGACCCGACCGAGCAAGCAGCAAGCTCTGAACAAGTCAAGTACAAGCTACAATCTATGAAATGGGGCTTGATCCCGTCGTGGACGAAGCGAAACCCAGACTACGGGTCGATGCTGAAAACCATCAATTGCCGTGATGATTCACTAAGCTCACCGGGAGGCATGTGGGCCAGCATGAAGGCTCGCAAGCGGTGCATTGTCGTTGCCCAAGGATTTTACGAGTGGCTCAAGACCGGCAAAGACAAACAGCCTCATTACGTGAAGCGAAAGGATGGCCATCTCATGTGTTTCGCAGGGCTTTGGGACTGTGTGCAGTATGAAGGTAACAGAGACGACTGAGATGAACCAAAGTGGTTCAGGCTGACATTCCACAGGATCTGCAGACAAGACCTACACCTACACTGTCATCACCACAGACTCAAACAAGCAGTTAAAGTTCCTCCATAGCCGAATGCCGGTCATCTTCAACCCCGACTCGTCAGCCATCAAGACTTGGCTAGATCCTTCTCGGGATCAATGGTCTCGCGAGCTACAATCTTTGCTCAAACCCTTCGAAGGAGAGTTGGAGGTCTACCCGGTCACTAAAGAGGTTGGTAAAGTCGGGAACAACTCACCATCTTTCATTATACCCCTGGATAGCAAGGAAAACAAGTCGAATATCGCCAACTTCTTTGCCAACGCCAAACAGAAGAAGGGATCAGGACTCCAGGACCCAGGTCAACATTCAGAGGTCAAGGTTAAAGAGGAAGAAGACCAGTCGCGTGACGACAGCAAAGCGACTACTGATTTGTTTGATTCTGAGAAGTTATCTCATGGTAAACGGAAGGCATCAGGAGTGACGAATGATGATGAGGGGACTGCGAAACGTCGAGAAGTGGGCAAGATAAGCGCAACTCAGAACAAGGGCCGAGAAACAAAGAAGGGAAAGGCAGGAGATAGCTATAAAATCACAAGATTTTTTAATTAAAGTATTTAAGAGTTTCTATAAACTAAGGTTATTCCATCATTTTGGCTCGCTAATGATCAGAGTTAAAAATACTATATTATGATAGTATTCAATTTGTCCTATTTTGGGATCCTTTAGCCCACACCGGATCAGCCGTTACCTAATAGCAGCTCAAGATTCATCTCTGAGTTTTGCTCAACACCTGAGACTCCCCAGTCTTGAGCAACAAAGTGCAAGAAGTTGACGTAAGTATCTACGGAAGCCTCCCATATCTTCCTCATTGCCCAAAGAGCTCTCAAGCAAATCTGCCAATTCTCTTGAGCCCTGCTTTTTAGCTCGAAATCAGACGATGTCATGTTTAGACAGTGTACAAGAGCGGCGCGGAAAATGTGGTAAATGGCGAGTGGAGGCAATGTTCGAGTGACGTTGTTTGCCTCTAGGCGACTCAGCAACTCCGAAATGGCCTCAGCTGCGGCGGTCACCAAATTCATCGAAGTACCTGGATCGCTTGCTTTATGCTCGCTGGAGATGTGGAGAAAGGGCCGATGCAGGTTGAGAACGGCGGCGTGGTAAGAAATCCACACAACAGCTTTGTCGGTCGATAGTGTGCTGCCCGTCTCGATGACAACGCAGGCACTGAGACGTTGTCGGAAGACTGCAAGAGCATCTGTAGCCTTCTGTAAATGGGCTTCCTGATCAGCTGCTGAGAGCAACTTGAAAGCCGGGGTATAGCTATGGACATTCCGGTGTTAGACAGCCAAAGTTCTTATGGTACCCGGTGATAGAACAATCAACCTACACTGTTTCCACGTAGAGGTGATTTAATTGCAATAAAGAGCAGTGTTGCTCAAACGATACGATGGAATCGTCAGAACCTGGCAAGACGCCTACGGTGACTGGCGGCTGAATGATATCCCAAGGAATTGCAAGAGGAACCCCAAGACTGGGGGTTGATGTTCTGAGGCGATTAATAGAATGAATGTCAGCTAACGGAGGACAGGGCAATGACACCACAGTAGATTCCACTTTGTTGTTACCTTTCTACCAGGAATAACGACCAGAATGTCCTGACGCTGTCAATGTAATCCAGGCTTGGTTCGTTCGCTGCCGTCGAAAATGGACTCGATACTTCGTCTAACTTGAGTCGCATGGAGAGACCGGATGCCAGGTCTTGAAGAGAACATGTCAGCAATGATTCAACAAGATAGAGTTTAAACCTACATTGATAGGCAAAACCGGCTGAACGCTGGAACAATGTATGCTTCAACCAGGCGAGAATCGATAAAGCCTTTATAACGGGCAAACATGTGTCTGACCTAGAGCAAGATATGACCAGCTTTTCGGCGTGAGCCAACAACGCGTCCTCTAAATCTTCTGCAACGTGTAGACAATGAGCTGATACGGCAAAGATGACGCTATAGAGAAGCTGCAGCGGCTCTCCGTTTCGAGGGAAAGTGTCCGAAAACGCCAGCCAGGCTGGCTCGACAAATTGATAATACCTGTTGATGGTTTCCAAGAAAAACTCCTTCAGGTGGCTTTTCAGTTCCTCCTGGCGGCTGAATTCCTCAATGAGGCTGTTGACTTTGGAAGCAGGCAGTTCCTTTGAGCTGGATGGGCTTTTGAACCTCCCTAGAGCTGGCCCGGGGATGGAAAAGTTTCCAGGTCCAGAGAACAGAACCATTTCGTCTCCTGCACGGCCGAGATTGCTCCAATCGAGAGACGCGAACTCCTGTACTGCACTCGGGGATCTCATGGGACCAGGGCAGCGTTGTTTCGTGGCTTGACCTGTCTTGGTCTTGCCATGATTCACGAGCTGTGGATTTCTCTCAGTCAGTCGTTTGGGGCCTCTCGAGGTCGAGCTGCTACGCGATTCTGCCAGTAAGGCTGACAGCTGAGAGACCTGGTCCTCGAGATGTTTGATGTATGATTTCTCACGATTCCTGTTGCTGTGAGATGGAGGAAATGTGAGTCCAAGAATGAAAGATTAAATAAATAATTGCACGGCGGCAACATACCTAAAGGGTTTACGACGGGACTCCCAGTGGCATGAGATATCACGTAGTTCACATGGTGCGCAACGAGGCTTTGTACCATCACACTGGAAGCTCAGAGTCAGTCATCCGAGAAAGTCAGGAGTGAAGGGAAACTAACCTTGCGCTTCCTCTTTCGACAAGACTCACACGCGGTGTAAACACGGTCTGCTAGCCAGTCCGGGTCGCTCTCGTGATGGCGGGAGGTTCTCAAAGTGTTGTGGGGCGTTTTCGGCATCTCACGATCTTGCAATTAGAAGCTCTCGGCCCTAGGTAATTGTCGTAATTAGGGGTTAAGAAAGGTTGATTCCTTGGCGTTCAAGTATATCGTTTTTATGCTAGCCTTTCAAGGCGGTGTCAAGCTTCGGAGAAATTACCTGCACGCTATGATGAGCTATTTGTGAGTGGCTAGCGGCGGATGACTCTCATCCGCGGCTTGTCCGGCAGTCGATGGGACCAACGAGATGGGTGATCCATGCCCTTTGCGGATGGAGTCGATATCGAGATATATCCACTTCCGGATCCGCATCTGGAGCATCATGTTCATAGTCCGTTTTCCTCCATGGAAAGCGCGGTTGCCTGTCGAGTTGGCTGCTGAAATGATGTCCCATGATGGACAATGAGTTCCACCCAAGGGGACTTTCAGGAGAAATCACATATGCAATCTTCGGAGCTTCGGATGGCAAGATTAGTCCCGGTACCGAGAATCTATGCCATCGTAGCAAGTTTCGTGAGCACACTTGTGTATAAAAGGACATCAAAGACTCATCTTGAAGTCTTCGATTCCTTTTCTCTTCAGTGAACTCCATCGCTAAAGCCTCACCACTGCCCGCAATATCCAAAAGCTCCGCCGACTGTTGTTCTTTTGTTCTCATCTTCTGCATCACTTGAAGATTCTTCCACGTCATAAACATGTCTCTTCCACCCACTACCGACGTACTCATTGTTGGTGCTGGCCCGGTTGGCCTTCTTACCGGGATTGGCCTTACGCAACAAGGCGTTGATTGTGTTCTTGTCGGTATGTCAACCGTGAGAGATCTTCAACACTCAGTCCTCGAGAATCGTGGAGCCTTACATTCTCCAAGAGACTGCTAGGGAATAAGATGGGGCTGACGATATAGAAAAACGAGAGCGCGACGTCCAGGCCACGTTTGGCCGTGCGACAACGCTTTACCCAAGGTCCTTGGAGCTTCTCGAGCAGCTGGACGTGGCTGATGACTTGATTCAAGAGGGCTTCGTGTCTCGAAGCAGTATCAATTTCAAGGATGGAAAAAGGGTGAACGAAAGAGGGTGGAACCTCATGTTCGATCACCTCAAGCCGAGCTACCATGACTATGCTCTGAACATCCGTCAGCGGTACTCGGAGGATGTCTTTCGAAACCACTTCGAAAGCTACGGCAAGTCGGTTTGGTTTTCCTGGAAGCTCACAACTTATGCCATCGACACTTCCCTCGGTGACGGGTACAACGTTACGGCCACTCTTGAACACAAGACGATGGGAAAAGCGCAAGTCCGCTGGTATGGCCCCCGTCCTTCTGAAATCGAACTCGATGTGATGATACTAATGACTCATTGAAATAGCAAATATCTTGTTGGATCCGATGGTGGCTCCTCATCGGTCCGGCAGTTGGTTGGCATCGATCTTGACCTTGATCCAACCACCCATGAATGGATCCGAATTGACGGCAAAATGTCAACTGATATGCCCGATGCAAACATCGGGTTCGCTTCGATCGAGACAGAGCATCACGGAAATATCCTATGGGTGAAGCTCGATCGGGATGCCCATCGTGTTGGGTTTGCTCTTACGCCTTCACTGTTGGCAAAATACCCAAACGGCATCACTCAAGATGAGGCCTTGAAGGAAGCTGCTGAGGGCATGAAGCCGTTCAAGCTGGAAGTCGACAGACTAGACTGGTGGACTCACTACAAGTATGTCGAGGGATCACAAGCTTTGAGAATTTCAGAGTTGAACGTATCACTAACTTGGATGCTACTAGGATCAAGCAGAGCGTTGCTCAGTTTTTGCAAAAGGACCAATTTGTCCTCCTCGGGGGTGATGCTGCCCATACCCATTCCTCTGGTTTTGCTCAGGGCATGAACACGGGCATTCACGACGCTACGAATCTCGTGTGGAAGCTGGCGGGAACCATCAAGGGCTGGTATAAGCCTTCGGTTCTCGAGACATATGCCTCGGAACGGCACGCGGCAGCAAAGAAGCTCATTGGGATTGACAAGGATGCCGCGGCTGTCATCTCTGGAGAAATCCCTGCGCAATATCAGGGACTCGGAAGAACCGCAGACGAGATTTTGTGGAAGATCTTTGGTGAGAGCATTGGGTTTAACGTCGGGTTGGGAGTCACATACGCCAACAATGTGATTAACCAAAGCCCTCTGATGACCACTCTCGCATGTGGCATCCGCAGCCCTGACGCACTTGTATGTGCACCTGGAAGCAAGGTTCTATTACGTCTTCACGACGCCCTTTTGATCGACGGGCGTAGAGGCTGTTGGAGCATTGTTGCATTCGCCGGGAACACAGCCTTCACGTCCACCAATTTCCCAGCCCTCAGAGAGACCTTGTCCACGTTTGCCGCGCGTCACGGCGGGATGATTCGACTCGTTACGCTGATGATTGGAACGGTTGGCAGTGGATGGGAGGCATTGGATGGGCCTCCTCTGGGAAAATTCTTCTTTGACCGTGAT